CTACTTACTCAGCACGCTGAGCTTCTCTAGCTTCCTAAGCTTCAGCCCTCCTTCTAGCACAACAGGGGCACAAATACATATGGTGGTTTCTGTTCCTGCAGAGCTTACTGGACAGTTGAGAACGTGAGGGATCTCAGCCAGCGGCTTCTGAGAGGACTTGGGTTTTCCTGATAAGTACAAATGCAGCCTTAAGTAGAGGCTGAGCAGATGGTGAGGCACAGCAGATGGGCTGCCCTTTGGGCTCCGGGGCGAAAGGTGGGAGGCCTGGCTTGTGTCCCGGACTCAGCTGCTGGTCTCCGGCTGTGTGACCTGCTCACCCCTTCCCATGGTGATCCCATGTGCAAAATGAGCTGGCTGCAGGTTGGAGAAAGGTTGTGGTTCCTGAGCTAGCTGCAGGGTTTAGAGATAGGAGACTGTGTCTAGAGGAGGGCTAACATCGACATTTCTCAAGATCTCCAGCTTTGCTGGGATCTCTCTCACATGGTTTACAGTTTAGGAAAGTGTGCAGTCAGTTATTTTTATAAAGTTGTATGGCCATAGACTTTACTGTTTTAGGTCTAGTTCATTCCTCCCCAAGAAACTGAGTAACAATAGTCTTTCACTCCTGGTTTTTCTCATGCTTCCAGCTCCTAAATAACCTCTAACACTCCTTCCTATTCGTTCTCATCATGGAATCACATATGTGACTTTTGGTGTCTGTCCTCTTTCAGATAGCATAATGTTTCCCAGGTTCATCTACATTGTAACATGGGTTTGTTGTTCACTTCTTTTTCACGGCTTAGTACGTTTCCATTGTAGCAATATAGCACATTTTGATTATTTTTCATCAATCGACGAACTTGGTTGTTTCTACCTTTGGGTGATTATGAATAATGCTGTTAATGATCACTCAGGTGCAGGTTTTACATGGATCTTTCCTTTCCTTGATACTTACCATGGTGTGAATTTCTGGATCATACTGTAACTGTGTCTTTAACTCTCTGAGGACCCACCGGGTTGTTTTTTCCAAGCTGAATGAACCATCTTACGTTCCCTCCAGTAGAATGTAAGTGTTTCCTAGTGATCTTACCATCCAGCTAGAGTTTAAAGCCAGAGAACCAGAGAATATCTTAGGGATCCATTATAAAAATCTGTGATTTCTTATCGGAGCTTAAATCTCAGAGCCCATGTCACCCAGAACTTGACTATACTGCAAAGGTTGACTTCTCAAGAGCACCCTCCACTGCCGTTTTAAGAGGAAGCCCTGAATTCAGCTTCCCCCTTTCTGTGCCCTGCTGGTAGCAATTTTGGTGGTGGATTCTAGAAGTCCTTGTGACCCACTTTCCAGAATCCCAAACACCCCATGAGCCTCAGTCTCTAATGGCAGTGAGCACGGAGCTGGCCTAGTATCCTGAACCTTGGCCAGCACCCCTAAGGCTGCTGTGTTGCTGCATGTCATTGGTCCTTATACTGTCTGACTTACTGGGATCACAAGGCAGATGCACATCCTTGTGGATACCATTTACCTCAAAGTCAGTATTAATGTTGCCTCCAGGAATCCTGCAGGGCTAATAAATAAGCACAGGGTCTTGAGAAATCTCCTTAACAGATTTATAAACCAACAAAACCCATGTTTGGATCATCAGGATGGTCCCTGTGTGTGAGCAGAGAATGCTTCCAGCTCATTCCACTGTGACACATCCTGGAGAGATGTGAACAAACGTCTACTCACCCAGATAGAGACCCAACAATAGACCAAAGTGACAATACCACTAAACTTCAACTTAGTGAACCAATGAATTCATTGGTGTTACTTTCAAAAACATGGATGACTCCAAGGCAGCCACATGACTGAAAGCTCACCCCAGCAGGGGTGACAACTTGGAAAAACTGGAACCCTGGGGCTCTCTGCATGACTTCCAGGAAGCTCAGCAAGTTGGAGTGTCTCCTCTCCTCAGCAGTCCGTAATGCTTATATAACCTTGGGGAGGGAGGAACTTGTGAACCAATTATGTTTCAGGAACTTCCTGAGACTTGTGAGTTGTTTTCTTCCTGAATCTTAATATCAGAGGGAATTGTCTCACGATAAAAATAGTTGTTCTTCCTGGGACCCTCCGCTGTGCCAGATTTCTTGTTCTAGCCCAGGCAGTTTCTCCTACTCTTGCCCCACTCTCTTCCCACTTGTCTTCTTCTTCCCCAACTCCACCGCTTAGGTGACAGAGGAGAATCAAGAATGCATATTTTACTTGACTTGTTATGTGATTTCTCACTCCTGCCAACTAGATTTTTTTTCTAGTTTGTTTATTTGTTTTTATTGCTTCATTCTGAGTTTCCTTGAAATAAAAAAAAAATGCACCCTTTCCACATGTAAAGACAAGTTCATGATAGCACTGTGGCCTTCCTAGCCTGTGACTAGCATCACTTACCAATCCCAGCTCCTTCTCCCTGAGCTCAGAATCCTGCTCACACTCTGCCCAGAGGTGAAGATGGGTCTGGCATCTGAGATGGTATCTGTTTGCCATGTTTCAGGAACTCTTCCTCAAAGCTCTCCAACTTCTCTTCCAGGCCTGACCTCATGCCAGTTCCTGCTCTTGGCCATGTTTCCCTGCGGGCGCTCATTCTCACACTCACTGAGCATTTGAAGTTCATCAGAGCCTCCCTCACTCCCCACCCCTCTTTTACTGCTGGGGTACCATTTGCCTGCCATTTCCTCACCCCTCCCTGCCTCCATTATCTCTTCTTATGTCCAACCAATGGCCCTCTCTTGTCTCTCTGTTCCTTATGGCTGGACAATCTTAATGCTATTCACACTCTGAACAAGCCAGAAGTGGTGAGGATCAGGGCAGAAGAAGGGCATCCATAGACTGGGAAACCTTCTCCTGCCCCCATAATGGACATCTGCTCTTCTGAGAGCTCCACTGCACCCCCAGAGGGCAAATATCTTCAATACACTTGAAGAATGGGAAATAATATCAGTGGGCTTTGCAGTCCACAGTGTTGTTATCAAATCCTAGCTGTATAGCTTCTTAGCTATGGAATTCCAGTAATTGCTACCCAACATGTTCCATACAATGGTGGTTAAGGGTCTCATGCTGGGCTTCGGCAGGGCTTTAGAGAGATGGGGGACTTGGTGTGCTTTTTACTGCCCCCCAATAGGAAGGTGGGTACCCAGAACTGTTTCTAAAGGGAAGAGGTGAGGGTAGAGCTCTCCAGAGGTCAAAACCGTGCCACCTTCTACTTCTTCCAGGTGCACACCTATAGGAGTGCCCTTGAGCAAGTCTCCTCAATACAGCCGGGGGGGGGGGGGGGGAAGAACCCAGCAGCAGCAACAGTAGTGACAAGCACACCTGTTCTTCTGGACTCTGCCCTGCCTCTTCTAATGAGTCTATTCCCACCTCCTTCTTCAGTGTCTCCAAGCTCTTCTCACACTATCAGGAACATCCCAGAGGGAAGCTCATACCCTTTCCCATGGTCCCTTGCTACTCAGTTGATAACCCTGCACATATCACCCTTCAAACTAGTCCAACTTGTAATTTGAACTGCACTTCCTACTGGCTTCCTACTTACACCCTTCTCTCCATATACTCTGCCCTTCCTGCTCATATGACCTTTGCCCATACTGTTTCTTAAGTCTGTAATGGCTCCTTCTACCCTTCTTAAATTGCACAGCTGTCTACCCTCTCCCACAAAAACAATAAATGAGTCCTGGTTTAGATCATGTGACATAGATTAGAGAAACCCAACTCCTTAATCAGTCAACCATTTAATGCATTTTATGAACCTTATAGAAAGAGTTGGCAGTAGTACCAGCTTCAGGTATAGCTGGATCTAGGTGCTCAAATTATACCACTAGAGTTTTTTTCCCACTCCACCTACATTTAACTTCTGCTCATCTTCTCTCCCTTCATGCTTTAGCCTCTTTTCAGGGATATGACTACTTTATGACTGGGAAAGATGGCCACGAGGAAACTTCAGTTTGCATCCTGATGGCCAGAACTGACTTACTCATTGTACACTTTGAACATGGTACCCTGGCATGACAGTATTTTATGAACCCAGAAAAATGTTTTAATTTCTTTTACAGTCAGGAAAAAAATAATTTAGTTGAAGAAAGTATACTAAGATATTATGTTAGTCGACTTGCTTTAATATAAGCACTGCCAAGAATATAATTTTAAAGGCTTTATTTTTAATTATGTGGATATGTGTGTGGGTTTGTGCCCATGAGTTCAGTGCCTGAGAAGCCCAGAAGAAGGCAATGGGTCTGCTGAGCCGGAGTTAGAGGCAATTGTGAGATACCCAGAAGAGAGCCCCTGTCTTTTAGCTTTCAGCTGTTAAAAGTTAGGAACAAGTAAGTGTATCTGGATCAAATCCTTCTAAACAGAGTTGTGGGAGGTTCTGGCTAGCCTTGCTTGAGTTACAGACCACCCCAAGAAGAAATGTAATGGCAGGGACATAAGGAGGACTTTCTGAATGTGGGATGGAGAGAGAAGAGACTCTGGTTTATAACACAGGATCATTTAAGCATTATTTATTGTTTTTTCTTTCTTTTGTCTTGCATTTAGAAGATGCCTTTCTTATGTGTATGAGTGCTTTGCCTGTGTGTGTGTGTGTGTGTGTGTGTGTGTGTCCATCATGTGCATGTAGTGCTTGTAAAGGCCAGAAGAGGGCATCAGATCCTCTGGAAATGGAGTACAAATGCTTGTGAGCTGCCATGTGGGTGCTAGGAACTGAACCCAGGTCCTCTGCAAGACTAGCCAGTGCTCTTATCTCCAGCCCTGAAAATGGCTTTTTAAAAATGCAAGCTACTTTACTCCATTTCAAAATGGAGACATTTTTAAGGTTGAAGATGTCAGATTGCTAATGCACACAAATTCTCACTGTTCATCTTCTTTGCACAAGTTTTTTGGCCCAATCGTCTATCTAGGTAGGGATCTGTTCATTGAGCCTCGTGGTCTTGGGGTTTAAGGTATTAGCAAAATGCTGTGTTGTTCTAAATCCTGATTTTGTTCCCTGTCCCAGCTACCCGCTCTCCTCCCCAGCGCTCAGTCCCACAGAAAGGTTGCCTTTTGGCCTTGAGGAGAATGGGGGCACACCATTCGTCCCCAAAGCTTCGGGGAGGCACCACCACCAGCACCAGCACCACTCCAACTATGGCCTTTCGCTGCCCCTGGAGAATAAGGAGGGGCCATTGAGGTCCCCAAACTCCAGCAAGGCCCTCAACAGTGAGTATGTGGAGGGAACAGGGTGGAGTGGGGAGGGCCAGTGGGGAACAGGAATGGGTGGTGTTGCTGTTAAGATAGGCTGAGCTCCTCAGTCCTCATCTTCAGATCACAAGATTCATTTGAGTTTAGCTGAATGGAAGGTGGGAACACCTGGCCCATTTGAAGAATCCAAACACAGCCCAGGCTGCCCTTGCCCTCATTCACCTCATCCTTTTGCATAGAAGAGACTGTCATGACCTCTTAACAGGATCCCTCCAAAGCAGTCCCCATCTAGAAGCTGCCAATGTCAGCATTAAGTCCTTCTGTTCCTCACTGCCCCAGGATAAGTCTACACTTTTAGCACAGTCACATACAGACCTCCAAAGCTGCACCCTGCGGTCCCAGCCTCCCCCAGCCTTCACACACTCCAGCTGCATGAAACTTCGGTCCTTTAACCAAACCCTGTCCTTTGTGCCTGCTCTTTCCTCTTCTTGCAATGCTTTTTTCTCTGCCCTAGTAAGCCTCTACATCCCTAAGGAGCCAGCTCACATGTTGAGCACAGCATCCCCTGCACCCTCCCACTGTCAGAACGTGGTGGTGGTGGGTATCTTCTCTCTTGTGCCTCTAGCAATGATGAAAGCTCTTAGAGCTTTTATGTGTACCACCCCCACCACCACTTACGCTAGAATCATGTCTTATTTGTTTATTTCAACTCCCCGGATGCCAGTTGCTAACAAGTAATAAAGCACAAGCTTTATTGTATAATGAATATTTAATATTTAGTGAATGTTTAATGCATTAATGAATAAATCCAAGCTAGAGGAAGGTGGGGTAGCAAACAGATGCAACACAATACAAAGAGCCAATGGCTTTGATTTTAGAAACATAACATGATTCTCCAGGGTACCTTGTTATGCCTATCAGCCTGGACACCCATCTTTTCAGCTTGTAAAGGGCCTTTCCACGCTTAAGGCTTTTTATGAGAATAATCGCACAGCAACCCTGCAAGAGAAGTGTTTTCTGTTTTCATTTATAAATGGATCAGTGGCTCAGAGGTCAAACAACATGCCCAGGGCCACCCAGCTCCTGTCTGAGGGAGTAAGGTTGTGAAGCTTTGACATCAGATGTTCTTGCACTGCATCAAGCAGGAGGAGCAGAAACGGATCTGGGAGCTAGGCTCCTGCATGTGTCTCTGGCCCCTGTATCTAGCTGCCATTTCACCCCCACTGTTTCCTTTCCCATGGATATGTTGTAGAACTGAGTCCAGGAGCACCTGCCCTGTACAGCGAAGCAGCTGCCCATCTGAAGAAGCTGGAGCTGGAGACTGTGAAGACTGCTGGACCCTGGCCTGCCCTGCACATCAACATAAACAAGGTGCCAGGCCTGCTTTCACGAAGGGGACCGAACCTCGGGTTTTTCCATTCCATTCTTGCACATGTGTGCTTGCATGCATGTTCCTGTGTGTACAAGTACACACGTGTGTGTACGTACACATACTCATGTGTGTGCATATACCCATATGCATATACACATATACAGGTACATGTGTGTATGTACATGTGTGTGTGCATGCTCATGCTTGTGCAGGTGTACATGTGTGTGTGTATGCACACAGACTAATGAGTATGCATACACTCATGTGTGCAGGTGCAAGCATGTGTGTGCACACTCATGTGTAGAGTTCAGAGGACAATCTCAGGTTTTGCTCCTCAGGTGCTATCCACCTTTATTTTGCAGGCATGACCTCTTACTGGCCTCAAGACTCACCAAGTAGGCTAAACTGGACTCACAAGCCCCACCTCTGAGGCACCTACCTGTCTCTGATACCATCAGGCATCAACATGCCCAGCTTTTTTAAAAAAGATTTTTTTAATTTATGTATATATGTGCCTATGTTAATATGAACACATGACTGCGCCTGTGGAGGAAGCTGGAAGAAGGTGTTAGGTCCCCTGGAACTGGAGTTCCATAGCTAATGTGGGAACCAAATTTTGATTCTCTACAAGAGCAGCAAGCTGTCTCACTGCTGAGCCATCTCTCCAGCTCTATGCCTGGCCTTTTCCCATTGGGTTCTGGGCCTTGAACTCAGGTTTTCATGCATGCAAAAGTGCTTTACTTACTGCACCAGCTGCCCAGCTTCTCCCCTGAAGCTTTCTTGCCCTTTCTGATTAGTCTGTTTCAAGAACAGAGCCCCACTTGCCTTTTTGATGGGTGAGCTATGGGCAGCACCAGGTGGCACCCAGCATATCCTGTTCCCCTTGGATATCTCTGCTTCTCGTTGTGTTTTAACCCTATTCCACAGTGCACATGGTTACTGCTTTTAATAGGGGCTTGCCCAGAATTCCACAGCATCTAAACAGATGTTGCCTGGCAGAGAACTCACAAGCATTCAGTCTCCAGGATCCAGAGGAGAGTGCCTATCTTTTCTCTGTACCTCAAACTATTCCTTTCCACATTTCCGTCCCATTTAAGAGAAGTTCACTGTGGGGGTGGGGCTCAGTGGGAGAGCATGTGCTTAGCATGCACAAGACCCTGGCTTCAATCCTCAGCACAAGTGAAAATCTGAAGAAGCACTGTAGCTGCAGGGATACAGTTATGCAGGTGACTCTGACCCTGTCCCCACACAGTGGAAGTGTGTCACTCCATATGTTTCCTTGATCCTTATTTTTAATTTTTGTGTGTATGTATTGTGTATGTACATGTGTATAGTGGTGTGTGTGTGTGTGTGTGTGTGTGTGTGTGTGTGTGTGTGTGTGTGTGTGTGTGTGTAGGCCACCACCTTGGGTGGTGGCAATCAGGGCCTATCCACTTTATTTTGAGGTAGGGTGTCTCCCTGGCCTGACTGACACTTGCCTATTAGACTAGGCTGGCTGACAAGCAAACCCTGGGATCTTCTTGTCTCCACTCACCAGTACTGGGGTAACAACCCAGCACAACTGGCTTGCAAAAAGAAATTTTTGAGACAACTCTATCATGTTACCAAGGTGTTGGCCTTGAACTTACTCTCTACTCCAGGAAGGTCTTGAACTCTGATCCTCCTTCCTCTACCTTCCCATTGCTGGGTTTGCAGACATGCATCACCATGTCCAATTTATGTGGTGTTGGGAATAAAACTCAAGGGTGTGTGCATACTAGACATTCCACCAAGTGAGCCCCAGCTCCAACCCCGTTAGCATTAAGAAAGCATTTCATGGGCCAGTGAGTTGATTTATCAGGTAAAGGCACTTGCACCCAAGTCTAGTGACTTGAGTTCTATCCCTGTAATTATGAAAGGAGAGAACTGACTCCCACAAGTTTTCCTCTAACCTCTGTGCACACAGCTCTACACATGTATACACATGTATAAATAAATAAATGTAGTAAACTATTTTATTTTAAAAGAAAACTATCTCTTACAATAGACTCTTTGGGAAGCGTGACACCTCAAATGAAAACCAATGCCTTGAATGACTTAACTTTTTTCCCACCGTAAGGATGTAACCACCTCGGCTTCTGCTATGGTTTTTGTAACTTCCTATTCTTTTTTTTTAACAATTTTAAAAAATATTTATTTATTTTTATTTTTATGGACATTTGTGTTTTGCCTGTATATATGCCTGTGTTCAAGACTGTTGGGTTCCCTGGAATTGGAGTTTCAGTTGTGAGCCACCATGTGGGTGGTGTTGGGAATTGAACCCAGTTCCTCTGGAAGAGTTGTCAGTGCTCTTAACTGCTGAGCCATCTCTCCAGCCCCCCAGGGGGGTGGTGGAGGGGTTTAAGACAGGGTTTCTCTGTGGCTTTGGAGGCTGTCCTGGAAACTCTCTTTGTAGATCAGGCTAGCCTTGAACTCACAGAGATCTGCTTGCCTCTGCCTCCCCAGTGCTGGGATTAAAGGCATGTGTCACCATCACCCAGATTGTAACTTCCTATTTTTAATTAAATGATTTCCCTACCTATTTCCAAGTGACAGCAGGAATTTCAATCTCATCAGACTTCCCATGTGTTATTTGTACCAACAATTTAAATACATATCTTATTGTTTCCTTGTCCCTAGTGACACCCCCAACAGATAGCCTGTTCTCAGCTATGACACCAATACCCCATTGTCATTTATTTGTATGTTTTGAATCTTGAATGCCATAGTGGACAATATAGTCTCTTTCTGAAGTTCAAAATTGAACATAAAATATGGTGATTCAAAAAAAACAGACAACACAAAAGTGTCGGGGCCATGCTTGTAATCTCTCATGGAGCCACCTCTATGTGTGCAGGCATGTGCATACATTCACAAGTGTGTGGAATGCATGTGTGGGTGTGGATGTGTGAGTGTGTGGTGGTCATCGGACAGCCTATGTGTTTGTCCTCAGGCAGATAGCTTCCACCTTAATTGGAGACTGGAACTTTACTACACAGGCCAGGCTAGCTGGTCCTGTGGGCTCCCAGAGATCTGCTAGTTTCGACCCCTTGTCTTGTCATCAGTGAGATAACAGAAAGCCCCACCCTGCCCAGCTTTTTATGTAGCTCCTGGGGATTCAAATTCAGGCCCTCATACTTAAGAGGCCAGTACTTTACAGATGGAGCAATCCATCCCCCGCCCCCAGCACTAGAGATGCCTTTTAAGTAAAACGGTTCACGCAAAGATGCACAAACTTGGCAAATTTCATGTTGGTCCTCAATGGAGGTGATTCACTTAACTGAGCAATACTGCCCTCTGCTCGTTCCAGCTGGGACAGAAGCAAGCTAGCTTGACTTGTATGTCCTAAGCAGCGGTTTAGGTTGGCTAAATTTAAGGGGGAAAATCCATGCTGAATTCTTTTCTTATTTTAGCAGCATTCCATTATTTTAAGTAGGTCTTCATTACTGTCAGTATAACCACGTCCCCATAAGTCATTGTCAAAACCCTCCAATGGGCTCCTAACTAATTAAATTCCTGTTTGCCAACATGCCACCCCCAAATTAAAATCAACTCCAAATGTATCTATGAAAAATCCATTCAAGTATGAAATAAATATCTTAATGTAACTGGATTTACAAACACAAAATAAATTACCCTAAATCTACACTGTAAACATTCAAGATATTAAGTTATATGTAAGCTACTTATGTCCCTAAAGGAGAATGCTCTATCCCTTGGGATAATGAATCCCATGTCATATGACTTTTCTCTAAGCCTAGCATGATAGTTTAGTGTCATTACTGTCCTCACTTCTCAGGCATACCTTGTTGTATTTTCTTTTCCAATTATAGAATCTAGCATAAAAAAGTCATTCATACCTTTTTCTCATTTGAGCATCTTAAAGTTCTTATGAAGGGGGAGATGGCTGCAGAGAGCTAGGAGAGCTAGCGAGGTTGCATGGTTGAGAGTTCTGGCTTTGGACTTCATCAGAACCTTCATTCCTGGCCCTTGGCCCTTCTGCTTCCCTCTGTATGATCCTGAACAAGTGGCTGTCCGTGACCCAGCTTGTTTTTTTTCTCATCTACAAAATGAGGAAAATGTTTTGTATTTTCTCTTCTGATTGTGTAGTTATTTCCCTTTTGATGGAGGAGAGCTTGCAATTGAACCTTGTGCCCTACCAAACTGTATAGCCAGCCCAAAGTCATCTGCCCTCTGCTAAAGTGGAGATGATGAAGGTACAAGCAAGAGAAGCCAGAAAAAGTGGCTTAGCAAGATGGCTGAGCATGGGAGACACTGCTGCCAAGCCTACATTCAATATCTAGATCCCACATGGTGGAAGGAGAGATCTGATGCCCCAAAGTTGTCTCTAACTGCCCCTTGCCCTGCCACACTAAGTGAACAAATAAGGACTTAAGGAAAAACATTTAAAGGATGCCTGTCTCCAAATAGGATGGACAGATGAGACTCCAGTGAGTCATGCACTTGAAGTACGCGGCCAATGGCTGGCTCATAATATGTCCTTAGTACATATCAGCTACTGGCATCTTTCTTTATCATCACCATTATTACTATCATCATCATCATTGTGGTCATTGTTATCATCACCACCACTATCACCATCATTGTCATCATCATCATCATCATGGTTGTCACCATCATCATCATGGCCATTACCATCACTGTCATCATATTCTATTTTTGATGGTACCCTACAGAAAACACCACTGAGATTTTATCTCAGAACACCTGCCTTTGTTTGGTACTAAATAGCATTGCTGAAGTCTCTTCTTTCCAAAGTTCTCCTCTTGTTTATTGGAGGTTCCTTTGGCTCCTTCCTGGATTCCATGCCCTATTTCTTTATTAAATACATGAGTTACCTACTTGCCCTGCGCTTCCTCTGTGGCTTTCATAATATTCTTGCAATGGATACCAAGATGACCAATGGGACTTTTCGTTTTTCTAAAGCGGGGTCCCAGTATTTAGCCCAAGGCTCATCCTGAACTCATCATCTTTCTGTGTCCATCCCCTGAGTGCTGGGGTCGTAGACAAGTGCTTCTATGCCTAACCTCAGTGGGGCTTTTGATTTAGAGAATAGTAATTTCAGGACTCGAGGAATATTTCCCTCCTGCCTTGGTGTGTGGTGGCTGACCTGCCACAGTACCTCCTGAGACAGCTGAGTTGGCATTAGCAATCATGAGGTCTTGTGCATCTCTTATTAAAATCATATCTCTTTTGATAATAAATGGGTGTCACCATAATTGTGTGTAGAAGGTATTTATTGGGCACAGAGTCTGGGCCGAGCGTCATATTGTGCTGAGACATACAATGACCATGACCTACAGTATGGTGAGCAATTAGATATTATTTTCCCAAAGTGGCACATATACCATCCACGATATTTCAGGGCTACACACAGGGATGAATACATTTTATTTTAATCACTGTGTAAATTAGCATGCCTACTACAACAATAGTTATAAAGCTTTTGATTTCAAAGATATTATTCTTTGAACATGATTCAAGTATAAATATAGTCCCAGGTAATCCAACTTAATTGAATCAAATGAACTTTAGGGACATATTGACTTAACACTTGGGAGATGGCAGAAATTGTGAAATAAGCAGCAAATTCCCAAAGTCCAATAATGTGATACGGGGGCTAGGAGTGTGAGTCCATGATAGTGCATGAGGCCCTGGTCACACCTGCTGCATATAAATTAAATTAATTAATGAAGTAACAGAGATGCAAATTTCTTATTGAGAGTCATGGCTTCCAGGAAGATTTACTGAACAAATACCAGCAAGTATTTTGTGCTCTTTTCCTTGATCCTGCAAACTACAGACTTGTGTCTTGCTATCTCAGAGATAGCAGCTTGAGGAGAAATAGCTCTAGGCTGGGCTGGGGAGGAGATGCTGTGGCCTTCTCCTGTCACTGGTTCTTGCTGCCTGATACTGTCTTGAACTTTCACTGTGACATCTGGTATGTCCATTACCCTGCTCACTAGAGAGTGGGGTGGTATGTGGAAAGCCTCTGCATTGGAAAGCAACCGCACAAATGGAAGTGTGTCAGGACACACACACACACACACACATACACACTTAGATCTCTGTGTTATTTGACATTGTGGTCATTGGGGGAAAGTTAGAGTGTGTTTTCTTCTCTGTTCACAGGCGGAGGAAAAGAAAGTTTCTGAGAAGACCCTTCAGACCCCGCTGCTGCCATCTCCTGTGGCAGATCACGTGAAGTGTAACATCTTGAAAGCACAGCTGGAGAATGCCTCCCGTGTGAATGCCCAGGTACGAGGGGTGACTGCTCCTTCAGTTTCATGTTTCATGTGTGTCCTCAATGCCACACAGGAGGACAATGACACAATACCAGTCAAGGACCAGTATGGAGACAAGAGCCACCTCTTGGTATGGGAGCCTGGATTTTATTATGTTTTTAATTGCTTTGTGAGGAGAGGTGCAGGGACCCATGCCATGCAGTGCTAGTGGAGGTCAGAGGACCACTTGCGCAAGTCAGTTCTTATCTTCTACCATTGGGGTCCCGAGTTTTGAACTCTGGTTGTTAGGCTTCACAGCTGGCACTTTTACCTGCTGAGCTGTCTCACTGGCTCTAAGAAGCCTGGGTTTTCATGCAAAGAATTCCTGACCATGTGGTTATTTATGCAAGCAAATGGAAGATGGAGGAATGGGAAACAGCATTTCTTACAGGCTAGTTGCAAAAGGCCCTCATCAGAGCTGCATCCCATCCCCGAGGGTTCAGTTAGTCAGTGTGGGGGCTAGTGATCTGCATGTTTCGGGAACTAGCTCTCTGAACTGCACTTTGAGTCACACTACTCCAAAGGACTGGAGGTGGCGACTTCAGGAAGCACTTTACATCCCGACAGCTTGGTGAACAAATGTTCTATGAATATGGACATTTGAGTGCCTAGAAGTATCGGCCCACGCAGGTGAAACTAAGACTTCTGAGCTCAGGTCCCTGTGGCCTGCTCTATCTAACTTTATGAGCTACATGTGCCGATTCTCTCTGTGATGGACAGGATGACACTGGATCACCTGGTGCTGCAATAATGTAACCTGATTTAGGTGTTCCTGTGGAGGAGTGGGGCACCAGAGTTGAAGTGGCCTGGTTGGGGTAATCCAGAACAAGAAGCTGTGAATTCCTCCTTTCTAGCGCCCCCTCTTGGCAAAGAAAATTTTGTTTGCTGGTTCTCAGCCCAGGTCCAAGAAAGAAGGGTGAATTTGGAGATGAGAAAGGATAGTGTAATAACCATCATAAACTCACAGTACAGATCACTGGTTCCACAGTGACCACTAATTACACGTTTTCTGCCACCCTAAAAGACGGTTCTAAGGCAGTGGCACCAGCCACAGCTGACATTCAAGGAGAAACCCATTGGCTATCCGTACCCTGAAAACAGAATATAAAAAGCTATAGTGAGCTGACAAGATGTCTCAGTGGCTAAAGGTGCTTGCCACCATCCCCTGAAGTTCAATCCCTGTGACCCAAGGGTTGAATAAGAGAACCAACTCCCTCAAGTTGTCCTCTGACCTCTACACGTGAACTATAACAAGCATGTTTCTGCATATCTCTCTCTCATACACACACTTACACATACACACAGTAGATAATTTTTTTACAGCTAAGTTGTCCAAGAGCTTGTGAGAACAATATGTAAGAATAGACAGGCTTAACTAATGAATCTACTGTCTCTACTTACATTGCCAAGAGTAAGTACTTAGCAATATCTTCATTTGCTATTTACACAATAACAATCTATATGATTTAAATCCTCCCAGAAAATGCTATGAGAAACAAGAGGAAGCTTACAAGCTTTCTTCCACTTGGAGGCTGTGATGTAAACAGGAAGCAGACAGCATAGACTACCTGTGAAAGCCAGATGGTCTGGTTCAGTGGTTCTCAACCTTCCCAATGCTGGGACCTTCAATAAAGTTCCTCATGTTGTGGTGACCCCCAACCATGCAATTACTTCATTGCTGCTTCATAACTATAATTTTGCTACTCTTGCGAATCATAATGTAAATATCTGTGTTTTCCGATGATTTTAGGTGATCCCTGTGAAAGATCATTTGACCCCTAAGGGGTCACGACCCACCGGTTGAGAATTGCTGGCTCTGGTTTGAGTCCTGAGCTATTTCTTAGTAATGTTACCTTAAACTTGTTTGCTAACTTCTCTGAACCTCTGTTGTTTTGTACGGAAAGTGGGGACTAGCTGGGTCTGGATGGGATTAGCTGGGTCTGGAGGTATACACCTGTAGTCGTAGTCCCAGGTACCTGGGAGGCAAAGACAAGAAGGTCTCGAAAGCCTAGGAGCTAGAGACCAGTTTGGGACAATGTAGTAAGATTTCTTCTCATGGGGCTGAAGAGACAGCTCAGAGGTTAAAAGCATTTTCTTTGCAAGCTTGAGGACTGGGATTTATATCCCAGTTTGCATATACATGCCAGGTGTGATTCCATCCATACCTGTAACCCCAGCATATACATGCCCCCTGCCCATGCCTGTAACCCCAGCACTTACTGGGATAGACACAGAAGGGTTGCTGGGGCTTGCTTGGTGCCAGCCTGGTTGTAAAGCCACTAGCTTCAGGTTCAGCAAGAGACCCTCAGAGGTGGACAGTAACTAAGGAGGGCACGACTCCTTTCTCTGGCCTTTGCACAGCTGTACACACTCATGCACATACACCACACACCAGTACATTTCACACACTCACAAGTTAAAGGAACCTAACAAAACAAACTAAAAGCCACCGCCCTAGGCAACTGTGAAGATTAAAGGATACCTTGTAGCTCTGACACAGTGTCTTACATTATCTCATGGAAATACAGATAAGAGCAGCAAACAGACTGGGGAATTGCTGAGGATACTGACTGCTGTAGGTGATGGCAGTGACAACTTTTTACAGGATAGTCAGGTTGACTTCTCAACTCAAACTGAGTGATTTCAGGGCTGTCAGGGTGGCTCATGTGATAAAGCCACTTGGTGGCAACCCTGATGACACTAGCATCTACATGGTAGACAAAGAGCATTAGCTCCCCCAAGTTGCCCTTTGGCCTCCATGTGCTTACTGGGAAGTGCACACATGAACAGACACACATATATAAGTGTAACAGCATTTTTAAAAACTCAGCTATTTCAAGTTACAGTCACAATTGATCGTCTTAACCGTACTTCCATTGCTGTTTTCATGTGTGCCCTTCTGTACTATAATCAAGCTAATGAAAACTGGTATGTGTTTCAGAGCTTACGGAGCTGACGGTATTCATAGCAGGGGGCTCTGCCATGTTCCCAGGGCTCTCATGCTTTACGAATCCCCTGTGGGGGAGCCAGGTTTCTGCTGCAGTGAAGATGTACTATGTGTCGAAAATAATTTGTTTTGTAAAGTGTGGAAAATGAGAGAAATAGACCCAGAGAGAAGAAAATATGCACCTAGACAGAGAAAGGAAGGGGCTGAAAGCAGTGGAGGAAAGGCAGATGTGAGATCAATGATTCCAGGAATGTTGGTCCTGCAGGATGCTTACTGATTACTCTAGAAATGATGCATGACCCCTCACCCCACCCCTGCAACCTTCACAGCAGCATATGAGCCTCTTATAGATTCCAAGAAGCCCTGCAGGAAGGGAGCCTCCCTTATTTTCTATCACCCCAAGGGCATGGACCACTTTGTAAATGGCTCCCTCTGACCTCCGCAGAACTAGTGTTCTTCAGGAACACCGGACCCTGCCATAGGGATCCCTGGGTTTGCATGGTTTGAGAGTTTGTGGTGCAAGATGCTGGTATGCAGCCCAGCACCCTGCCAGGGGCTAAGTACCATTTCCCCCTGGGGGCAGTGCAGAGCACAGGTATATGGAAAGGAAGACAGTGGTGCTGACTCTACAAAAGACTCTGACAGGAGACAGGGCTGCATCCACGTGTGGACTGCTGTGGCAGGATAAGAAGGCAGTGCCCTCCAAGCCAGTACCCTTGGCATTTTTGCTCAACACCTAATCAGAGCAGAGACTAAGCATGAGGACTGTGGGCTGGGCATCTCCCCCACTGACTGCCCGTGTACATACTATTCGGCTGGCTGTGTGGGTGTCCCTTCCTCCCTTGTCACTCTCAGGGACTCACCAGAGGGAGGAAGATAAGACTTGTATCAAAATCAAATGATATCATTCCTTCCGGGTTTGTTCCTTGGATGTACAGGCTTCCAAGTTCCTTCTAAAGCTGTGACTGGAAATGCTACTCCAACCTGTAGCCCATTCTTGTTCTTGATAGAGTGATGTAAAGGATTGCTTTTCCCACACTGTCCCTTTCTCATTCAGGCAGGAACTGACACATAGCAAGTGCTCAATGAAAGTGTGACTGCAAGGATGGATTGCATTTGAATGATTACATCTCAATCCTTAGTGTGAATGACTCAAGAAAACTTTTTTGTTGTCATTGTTGCTTCCTATGTAAATAGAGTAAGTTTGCAGTTGATGGGACACTTGGTGAATTACATCCATGGTTCTTCCCAGCTCTGCAACCCTTTGAATGCATGAGACCTGAAAGCATTTTTACATGCCAAGCCAAGTTAACATTTGCCTGACTTGTTTTCTTTAACAGATTGGGAAGGAGGAGTCCACATTTGTAAATATCAATAAGAAATCGAGTCTTCAGGACACTAATGTAAGGTCTGTTGCTTCTTGTTTGAATGGGGAAATGATACTGTGTCTTCCCATCATGCTGGAAGTATTGCTCCTGGGGAAACTGGGTGACAAAAGCAGAGAAGGAAAACAAAGCAGAGGGAATATGGGCCTGGAGAGTGTTGCTTGGTCCCAGATTGACATCGCTGCCTGCTGTGCTAGCAAAGAACTCAGCCTTCTTGAGTGGTTTCTGGAGCATGCAGAGCTGACCTTGCAGTCCTCCAGGAGAACTGCTCAGAAAGCTCTGCTCTGACAGTGGAGTCATCCTTGGTAACACAGGAAAGACGACCCTTCCCAGTGGCTTCTCCTCACTGCTCTTCCCTGAGCCTGTCATTTCTGTGCTTCGTCAGAACTGGAACCCCATGGGTTCATTGATGCTCTTGGCCATGTCTCCCCAATCCCATGCCCCAGGGGAAATCCCCCTCTCAGCCCACATGACTGACAACCTTGGCAGTTCTTTCATCATCTTGGTGGTCCTATCATCACCTGCTCTTCATAGGGCTTCCTTGGGTGCTCCACAAATGTACAGCAGTCTCTTACTGGAAAATCCCAAGTCTGCCTGGGGAGGTTAACTCGGTAGAGAGCCTGCCTAGCATGCTCAAGGCCCTGGTTTCCATCCTCAGTGACACAAAACAGAGAAAAAAAACAACACAAGATTCCTGGGTCCCACCCCACTTCTTGTGTTGGTGGAAGGGAGTAGGAGTGGGGACGGGGACAGGAAAAGGCATTTCAGTGAATGCCTGGGTGTCATAGGCAATTGTTATACTTGATGCTCAAAGCAAAAGCTATTTTTCTATGTTGTCTTATAACTGCCAGTCTGTATTCTTATCCAAGTTTGTCATCCTCCAGGGATACATTCCCTCCTGGACTTTTAGGGGACTTAATTCAGGCTCAGGGGCCAGCTGAATTGGATATTTCTTTTCTATCTTATATAAGGGCCTGAGTTCCATCCCGAGCACTGGAAAAAGCAAACCAAACAAACAAAAGCCTTTTTCCACCCTGTCCATTGTCTTTCCTTCACCTGTCTTCAGGCTTGAAGAACAACATTGTCTATTTCCTAACCAAGCTTGAAACTCAAGAATCCTCATCCCCGCCCACCTACCTCATCCCCATGTCTAATTAGTCATCAAGATGCATCAATTTGAGTTTCGTATTATCTCCAAAAATATGTTCAGGAACATAATCCCGGTCCTTCCCTATAGCAAGTTTTCTTGTCTGACTGTCTTTGGATGCCAGCCCTCCAAATAATGACTCAGAGACTTATTATTAATTAGAAAGCTCAGTCTTAGCTTAGGCATTTTCCCACTAGCTCTTATAATTTAAATTAACCCATATTTTTATTAATCTACTTTCTACCACGTGGCTTTTACCTCTCTCCCATTCTGTGTGTCCAACTTGTTCCACATCTTGATGGTGTCCCCTCTTCCTCTCTCTGCCAGGAAGTCCTGCCTATCTCTCCTGCCTAGATATTGGCTGTTCAGCTTTTTATTGTATCAATCACAGCAACACATCTTCACACAGTGTACAAAAATTCCACAACACTTCTCTACCCCTCATTGTCTCTTATTCTAGGTCATTAAAAATACCCTTGTTCTCCCACCAGTACACTCTTCATGGCTCTGAGGACATTTTTGCAGTGCAAACATGATAATGTCACTCCTCAGACTAAAACCTTTAGTGACTATCATGGCCTTCATAGTAAAATCAGCCTGAGTTTCCTCATGACAAGTCCCTCCCTGCTTTCCTTCTGGTCCTTACCCCTTACCCTACCACTGGGAACTCTTCTATGTCGGGGTGGTGGGATGGTACCCTGCATTCAGCCAGGCCTCCACTCTGTCTCTTACATTGGTGGTCTTCCCTGCATCTTGCTGAGAACCCAGAAGATAGGGTCATTTCAGGGACCATTGCAGCTACCCTGCAGTTCTGGCCTAGGGAACAATGAATTCAGCACCTTGACTCAAATTTCTTATACATTTTTTCCTGTATTTATTCAATGATCATTTATTAGGCACTAGCTGCATACTTACCACGTAAGCAGGTGATGAACAGAAGAGAGAATGGAAGTGTACAGTGTTGCTGGAGTTTCTTTCCAGCTTGGTCCTGCAGCTGATTTACCCCAAATAAGCACATAAAGACTTATATTAATTATAAAACTGCTGGTCAATGGCTAGGGCTTCTCATTGGCTAGCTCTGTCTTAATTATTAACCTATTTCTACAAATCTATGTATTCCCATGTGGTCTTGGCATACTGAAGAATGCCTGGACCTATTACTCCTTTGGCAGCTACATGGTGTCTCCTGGCAGTGCCTTTCTGCCTGCCTTTCCCAGAATTCACCTCGTCTCCTAGTCCCACCTGTCTTCCTGCCTCTATTGACCAAACAGTATTTTATTCCTCAACCAATAAGAGAAACATATACAGAAGGAATTCCCCATCATACAAGTGTCCATTGATTTGTCAGGGGTCCCTTGCTCAGGGCCTCAACTTGTTTCCATGTCTTTTTGGTGTTAGGAGGTAATTACTGTTTTTTTTTAATATGAAATTAGTTATGTCCATAAGAGTATACTAAATACTTCTCTTAAAATCACTGTTTGGGGTCTGGGGAGATGGTTTAAATGATTAAAAGGCCCACGGTCAAGCCTTACAACCTCAGTTTAATCCTCAGACCTACATGATAAAAGAGAAATGACTCTTACATGCTGTCTGTTCTCCAGCCTCTGGATGTATATACACTTGTACATAGACAGAGAATAAATCAATAAAATATGATAAAAGTCAGTTTTCAAAAGATCCATTAGGTTGTCATAAATGATTGAGGAAAAAGCAAAAGGGAAATTGAATATGCTTTTAATTTTATTTATGTGTATGTGTATGTACACCTGTATATAGGTGCCCTGAGAGCATCATGTCTTCTGGAGGCATTATGGGTAGTCATGAGACACCCAGCAAGGGATGCTGGGAATTGAAGTCAGATCCTTTGGAAGAGCAGTTAGCATTCTCAACCACTGAGCTGTCTCTTTTAAAATTTTTTCTCATATACACAGTATTAAAATATTTAGAAACAGTCCTAAGGTTCTTCTGATTATACATTTTTACTTAAAATATACTGTGGATATAGTATTTATTGTTCACTGTAGCTTCCTTCTGTATTACAGTTACAGGCCTTGTGGGGTATTGAACTAAGTATCATGGCTGCCAGACATTGGAAACCAAAGCTGTGTTAGCCATGGTTTTTCTTCATTTCACAGCATGACCTATGAACTAGACCCTCACACTGAGGTAGGGAGCTTTTGAGGCAAGGCAGTTTGATTTGGTACCTCACCCAGTAGTATTTAGTTCTCCTGCTTGCTACAGTCTCATCTCTGTAATTTTTGCTTGTTTATTTGATTTTGGACTTTTCTGCATTTGTAATATAATATCAATTATTAAATAGAACAGAAAGTCAAGAGCAATTGGATTTCTGGACCATGAGAATAGGTAAGCTGTCTATTAACTGAGAAGCAGTCCAGAAGGATAGTACAAGAACACTAACCTTTTTTTGTTGTTGTTTTGTTTTGCTGTGTCTCTAGAAGCCCCATTCCTATACGTGTGGAAACAGCTCAGCCAGTTGTGGAGAAGCCAGAGATCAAGCCTCCCCGAGTGAGGAAGTTAACAAGACAATACAGTTTGTGAGTTCTGTGCTTGTCTAACCCCATTATACATGAATGTTTAGTGACATCCCTGCCCCAGGCACCTTCTCAGAAGCCCATCTCCCAGACTCCATCTAAGTCCCATTTAGGTTGTGATGGCACCAGAGTTTTCTCCATGAAAGCATCACACAGTGGGCACACTTGTCCTCACTGGCATAGTAAACTGTTCCAAGAATTCCAGGCTTGTTACCACCTCACAGAGGATTGGGAGTCTGGCACAGCCTCTCTGGGCTTCTCTGTTGGGGTCTCCCACAAGGCTAGAACTTGTCCCCCAGGGCCTTGGTCATCTCTAAAGACTTCTTTATGTGGTTGCTATCAGAACCCACAGCCAAGGAGGTTGTTGGATCCAGAGATTAAATCAATACAATATGATAAAAGTCAGTTTTCAAAAGATCTATTGGGTTGTCATAAATGATTGAAGAAAAGTAAAAGGGAAATTGAATATGTTTTTACTTTTATTTATGTGTATGTTTGTGTACATACATATAAGCTTATAATCTTGTGAGGTTTCTCTGTCTGAGAGCATGTGAGAAGGAATGCCAGCAAGATGTAGGTTAGTCTTGTATAGCCTCATCGCAGAAAAGACGTCCTGTTGTTTTTGCCATGTTCTGTTTATTGGAAACATGTTGCTAGGCCCAGCTCACACTCTAGAGAAGGATTACATGGGTGAATGATTACTAAGACAGGAATCACCAGAGGCCATAGGAGCAGCTGCCTCTGCACCCTGTAGCTTGATAGTAAAGTGTTTAGCATGATCAGGCAACAGAGCCAGAGAGAAGCATGGATCTACATGATGTCAGGGCCCACCCAGTTTTCTTCCACTTAATCCAACAAAAAACTCTTGGCTGCTGTTCCAGGCACAGCAAAGTGGCTGTGACAATCCCCATCTACAGTCTCACCTTGTAGTCTCATAATGTACTGGAGGCAAACACAGACTTGTGAATGATAGCCCAAACAAGACAGGTGAGGCCTGTAAGAAGGGCAGGTGGGCTCAGCCACAGGTTGGAGTACTGGTGGCAATGACTTTCCCATTTTTGGCTCCAGCTGTGACTCAGGCGCTACACCTGGGTGTGATGTTTGTCAAAGAGCTGCAGAGGTATCTCCAGTCACAATGGAAAATGTGGGCAGTCTAGAGCTTCGAAGGTTTCAGATAACATTCAGACCCATTTGTAGCTCTGAGAGGCTAAAAAATATTCACCCTACTCTTCTGTATCACTCACTGTATGACTAACTTTTTTAAAAAAAAATAAGATAAAAACCAGGCTAAACCAATGGCTCAATCATTTAGAGTACATTCTATTCTTGCAGAGGTACCAGTATCCATATCATGTAGCTCATAATTGCTTGTGGCTCCAGCTGTCAGGGGATCTGATACTTCTGGCTTCCATGGGCATGTGCACATATCCACACACATACGCATAAATAGAAATAAATAATAACTGACCTATTTGAACATGCCTGAAAAGGTGAGTGAGGATTGAGAAAAGAGACAAGAGACAGAAGACAGAGTCAGGAGGGCTCTCGGTGAATGATGCGGACACCCCAAGTTTATTACTCATAGCCCTTAAATACCCCAAGCAAAAGAGGAGGGCAGAATACTTCCTTACAAAGATACAAGGAACAAACAAATGTAATTACCTCTTTAATACTCAAAACATCTAGCAACCATGCCCTAAGTCAAACATCCTATTATTTGGTCAAGACATCCAGTAGCCACACCTTTGGCCAAACATCTTGTTGTTTAACCTTGAGGAACAAGAATAGGTTTGAACTTTCTGACCTTAAGTCAAGATGGAATAGAGTCAATAACAATGGGCTCCAACAACTATTAAAAAAATCTTTAAAAAAAAGGGTTAAAGAGACGTTTCCTGAGACTGATTCCTGCTGCCTCTCAGCACCAGTGCACACCCTCTGCGTATACTTGGACTTACTGTGACATGAGTGTCCATCCAAGTGTCTTCTAGCAGATACACAGAATAAGAAAATATGGTATTGCCGTGCAATGGAACATTTCTCAACATAAAAGGCAAGGCATTTTGATATACACCACAGTGTTGTTGGACTTTAAAAGCATCATATCCTTCCATGAGGCTTCAGGAATAGGCAAGTTCATGGAGACAGGGACAAGGTTGGGGAATATAGTGGGGTGGCTACACAACTGTGAATGTATGTCACGCCACAGAAGTGTTTGTTTATAAGTGGTTAAAATGATAAATATCATGTTATGTGTGGTTTGCCACAATGACACACACACAGACACACACACACACACAGACACACACACACACACACACACACACACACACACACACACACACACACACACACAGGCTTTTGGTTTTGGATCTTGTAAGCTGGACATTGAGTGGGCATTGATTTGGAGAGCCATGTTCTCCTGCTTTGGCTTCCCCTCCCCTCCCCCAACCTCTCACAACCTGTGTATTATTGTAATGAGCAGAGCTTCATGTACTTTTAGTAACCGCAGTGATGAAGATGACCTCCCTCCAGACCTGGCTGAGGCAGTGGGAGCCACCACAGTCACAACCACAAACACCACGATGTCTGCCACTCAAGTCTCAGTGCCGCTGGCATCCCCCAAAATCCAGAAAGTCACCTCGCCTCAGAAGTCGGAAGTCAAGAGCCCACTGTCCCCAGGGGCCAAGGTATGGGAAAGAGCCTGAGGCATAAGACACACTTAGAAAATGGCAGCTTGAGCATTTAAGTTGTGCATAATCACTTGCATGCATGCATGCATGCATGCATGCATGTGTTCAAAAACAGTAAAACCAGACTGATGGTTTCACTCGGTAGAGTTGAAACCGTGTATTTAATCCCCAGCACAGGTAAACCAGGCACATACCCATAGTCCCAACTCAGGATCAGAAAGAATTCCAGGTCAAGCTCCACTATATAGTGAGTTTGAGGCTAATGTGGCACCTGTCTTTAAAAAAGCAAAGCCAGTTTAAAATGATGAGATTAAGACTGGTTACAGCTGGGCATTGGTGGCGCACACCTTTAATCCCAGCACTCCAGAGGCAGAGGCAGGCAGATTTCTGTGAGTTCAAGGCCAGCCTGGTCTCCAGAGCGAGTGCCAGGATAGGCTCCAAAGCTACACAGAGAAACCCTGTCTTAAAAAAAATAAACTAATTAATTAATTTTGTCATACAAAATGTATGACAGCCATTTTATGAGAGACATTTTATGATATAAAACTAAAAGTATGCACTGTGCTTTAGGGAATATTTAAGAGATTCTTGGGAGTAATGTTTTATACCACTGTGTGGCTCTGGCTGGCTTTAAAGCCACGTACGGAGGCATACATCTTTAGTCTCAGCACTTGGAAAGCAGAAGCAGGTGGATCTCTATAAGTTCAAGGCCAAGCTGATCTCCTTGGTGAGTTCCAGGACATTGTGAGACACTGTCCTGAAAACAAACAACAAACAAATAAAATTTCATTTTAAGGGCTGGTAAGATAGCTCAAAAATTAAAGATACTTGACGCCAAGTCTGGTGACCTGGTGTAAGGAGAGAGCTCCTTACTCCCCAAAGTTATCATCCTCTTACCTCCACACCTGCACTGTGGCATATGTTTTTTTTTTTTTTTTTTTTTTTTTTTTTGTGTGTGTGTGTGTGTATGCACATGCATGCACAATACAACAAATAAATGTAACTTTAAAGATAAAAAATGTTTTAAACCATCTTAAAATACCATAAAAGTCAAGAGAAGAGCAGTGCCCCCAGCCCCACTCTGTAATGGACAATCTGGAGAAATAAAAAACATAGATATGTTCCGATCCCATTTCTTATATTGGATAAGGTGTGTTAATAGTTTGAAAATGAGAAATTTTAGGAAATTGCAAACATGAATGCTGGTGAGAAGCCTTTCATGAAACATTCTCCGTGTGATTCTATCATCGGTCACTTGTTGGTACTTGGTTCAAATACAACTGAACCTATTCCTGTCCAAGTACATTCTGAGCCAAAGATGGCTGTGGTCCATGCAACTTCCTGAGGAAAGATGTGTACAGGGAGCAGGTGCCCTGATGGCAAGATGGGAGCTCCAGTGGATTCCAGCTCCCCAATTCACATGCTAGTGATAGCTCCCCAAAGGGCAGTCTCTTTGAAAGCCCATATTCCTTGAGTTTTAGCTTCCCCTTGTCCTGAAGATGAGATCAGCATCAATGCTCAGATGGGCACAGAAACCTCACTGGGCCTCATGACAGCCACTGGATCCCTGAGGCTTGTGCCTCCTCCAGGGTCACAATTCTTGGTAACACTTAAACAACAATTTTCCAGGCCCACTTGCTGTATAAACAAGATCCCTCTCTCGCAAGACTCTTCCCTCATATGTCTAAAATAGACACAAGAATGTGACTGGACCCCTCAGTGTTGACTGGTGCAGACTAAGGCTCTCTGACATTCTACAGAAGGAATCCTGGCATCTTTTCTGAGTTTTGTTGTGTTTGAGGTAGAGTTTTGCTACATACCTGACTGGCTTGGTACTTACTCTGTAGCTCAGGAGGGCCTTGAATCCATGGGAAGTCTTCTTCTGCCCTAGCCTCCCAAGTGCTAGGATTAGAGATGTGAGCCACCATACCAACCTCACGCCTGGAATCAGGACTCTTCTTAGTTTGTCAAGTGGGAGACGTGTATCCCACAGCTGGTTAAAAACCAGGCTGCAGCATTCACTCATTACTGAGAGGAGTATGGATTGGGGAACAACCACGTCCTCCAAAAAGCTCCAGGGCTCCCTCTCCTGGCCATCTCTATTTTAGGGCCCTTATGTCAAATCGATGGGCTATGAGTTGTGTTTTGCACATCCTCAAAGGGCCTGGAATCTACCTGTGCAGCTAAAACCCCAGAGCAGGACAGAGCATTGTCCTGAGCAGCCTTCAAAGGCTCCAGTGGCCCTCTTCATGCTTCCTCCCTGTGAGTGCTGCTGGTCAACTTAGCTAGTCCAGTTCCCCCAACTCCCTGAGGGATGGCTTCTTTGTTCTATTTATATATTCTACAGACTGTTGAAAACATTTCCCCAAAAGCCAGTTAAAAAAAAGACTCCAAGCCCTTTAGGAATGTGTTTTGTAGCTTTAAAAAGCCCAGGTCCCACATTTTACCCTGTTTCAATCCATGCAGATTTGGGGGGGGGGGAGGTTGTGGTTCAACCTGGCTGTTTTGCACACTGCTGAGGGAGAGGCATGTTGAGGGGAGAAGTTGCACACCCAGCAGCTCATTGTGAGAGAAGTATGGCCTCTTCCCTTTTTGAGAGCCCTGTCACCTGCTCTGGATATCACTAACAGGGGGTGTTTCTGCCTGCCCTTGCAGAGCCCCTCTGACCATGGAGGCACCTTTACCTTGGGGCCAGGCGACCTGCTGATGGACTTCACAGAAGCCACTCCTCTGGTAAACTTCTTACTTTTCTAAAAGCAGAAAAGCCACAGGCCCTAGATGCATCTGGCCGTGGGAGGATGGAGAGATGGGCGCTGCTGCTGGAGGCTTCCACTTATCCTGGAAGCTCTCAAGAAGGGTCGGGCACCAGGTCCCCATCAACTTCTGGGGCCCTTTATGAAGAGGGATGCTCCTTCTCCTTAGAGGGTGGCTGCAGTGGTCCTGCCTGTGCCTGTCTGCTGCTCCTCAAGTTTAACAGGGCTCCTCCATGCTTGGATCTCAACTTCCTGGCTTCCCAGGCTCTGCCCTGCATGCCCACCCATCTCTTGCTGTTGCTTTTGGCAATCCATCTGGTCTGAAACACTGGCTCAAGGCTCTTCTCTGGCTTGCCAGACCCTTTGTGCTTCCTACCATCATCTTTCCTGTACACAGCTCTTCTGTTAGGGGTGGTGGCCTTTGTGGGACTCCAGCAGGTGAGAATCCCTTTTTAGAGGACAGAGTAAGTACTAAAGGAGTCAGGCAGGCAAATTCTCACCCTAGGATCTGGCCGCTCTTCACACACACAATTATTTTATGTTTTGGTTTTTGAGACAAGGTCTCATATAGCCCAGGTTGACTTTCAACTTGCTATGTAGCCAGGGATGCCCTTGAACTTCCAATCCTCCTACATCTAATTCCTGAGTTCTGAAATGCTAGGTGTCTAGTTATGGTTTCTATTGCTGTGAAGAAATTCCATAACCATGACAACTCTTATAAAGGAAAACAATTAATTAGGGTTATCATGGTTACAGTTTCAGAAGCTTAGTCCATTATCATCATGGCAGGAAGCAAGGCAGCATGCAGGTAGACATGGTGCTAGAGAAGGAGCTGAAGGTTCTTACATCTTGACTCACATGCAACAGGAAGTGGTCTGAGACACTGGGTGTGGCTTGAGCATATATGAGACCTCAAAGCCCACCTCCCCAGTGACACACTTCCTCCAACAAGACCACATCTATTCCAACAAAGTCACGCCTCCTAATATAGTTCCACTCCCTTTCGGGCCATTTTCTGCGAAACCACCATGCCAGATGTGCACCACAGTATCTGGTTTATGCAGTGCTGGGGATTGGACCCAGGGTTTCCCAAACACTGTGCAAGCATCTGCCAACTGAGCTGCATCTTCAGCTTTCTGCTCTCCTTTAAGAATCTTGCCATTGGATAGAATCCTGTCTTCCCTAAAGCAGGGCTATCAGGATGTCACTGTTTGTCTCAGAAGTGTTCTCAGAAGAGATAGAGGAGAAGGAGGAAGGGAGGAAACACACACACACACACACACACACAGAGAGAGAGAGAGAGAGAGAGAGAGAGAGAGAGAGAGAGAGAGAGAGAGAGAGAGAGAGAGAGAGAGAGAGAGAGAGAGAGAGAGAGAGAGAGAGAGAGAGAGATGCACACAATGAGACCAGAAGGCAACACAAATATATGTAAAGTATTAGTAGAAAATACAGGCAAACTTGGAAAACTTGGAAATAACTTTAGGTTAGTCTTATATCTCAATAAAGTTGGGCATAAATCATGGTTCATTTTGGGCTGGACATAAATCACCATTTGGGCTGAGATAAAATATGAATTAAGTCAGAACCTAGCCCCTGAGAGCTTTGTACTTAGTTATGGAAAAGCTCCAGGTTAGGAGCAGCTCAAGGGTGTCCAAGTTGATAAATGGCCAAGCACCATGTGAGAGCTGTATAGAAGATGCCCAGGGAGAGGCCAGAAGGAAGTCATTGGGCATCAGCTTTCAGAGAAAGGACTCTTCAGAAGGCTTTCAGGAGAGTCTGGTAGACACAGTGCTTGTCATTCCTGCAGCCATCTTTTTTGCGTAGCAAGTGGGACCAGTTTAAGAGCAGCTGAGAGCTGCCAAGGAAGACCCTGCTCTGGGATCATCACAGCGTATGTCATGGTTTACTCATGGTCTTCTTGATAGATGAGTTGCCAAGACCCAAGTACCCTTTCCCCCTGCCTTTCCAACAGAGTTACCACAGCTGATGACCTTTCAGCATGACCTCATCAGCCTTCTGCCCAGATGCAGAAACTGAGTCCTGGAATAGGCAAACACAGGGTTTGGGATCCAGACTTCCGTATCCAACCCCTCCTCCTATGCTCTTTGCATTGGATTGGGAAAAAGTCTGGCCTCTTCTTTGGAAAATTTGCCACGTTGAAAAGAAGTGATTTCCAGAATAGGGAGGAGAAGAGGGGGCATGGAGAAAAGTCAGAAAGCAACAACCTGGGTCAGAAACTGCCAGATACTTCCCAGAGGAAGCCTCTTGCCCAGGAGGGCCTTTGGAGATAGAATCCCTGACAGCCACCTGAGAACATACATTCCAGCTGCTGAGCAGCTAGCCAGAGAGATCTGAGAACTCTTAGGGTACATCATGAGAACCTATGAAGGAGAACGGAGGAGACAGCTAAGTTCTGAGGACCATGTGGAAGGAAGTATGTGTAGCAGGAATTAGGACCCAGGGAAAGCTATCTCTCTGAGTTGGACTGAAGGGCAGCTTCCAAGCTGTTAAGTTTTGTTGCAGTGGATAAAACCATATCTGCTATCCTCTGTCTGGGACCACTGAATCTTACAGTATGAAGAGGAGTTGATTTGACAACTAAAATAGTCTCACCTAAGCATAGCAGCACACCTGGGAGGCTGAGGAAGGAAGATATTGCCATAAATTCCAGGCTGAGTTGGACTATAGTGTGAGACAATGACTTTAAAAAAAACTGCAGTATTCTGTATCAAGAGCCAGCATGAATAAAGTATTAATTTACTAAAGGGGTTGGTGAATCTAAGAACAATGGTCAATTTATTGACCATAATTAAGAACTATGGTTAAAATACATCATGGTATTTTACACGAGTAATAGGATTCCTCTCAAAAACTTGTGTTTGTTCATATAGATATAATTACTTGTGGAATCAAGACATCTTGGCTTGGATATTGCAGACAGGGGTTAGAAAAGAAACAGCATATGGTAAGGACTCCTAGAGGTGTGCCAAGTGACTGTCCCGCTTCAGGGACTGTCACCCCCACCCCTTTTGAGATGCCTCTCTACATCTTTTGACAACTCTGACTTAGCTGTGAAATGAGGTCCAGGATGCTGTACTGTATATGCAGCTGAGGTCCTTGGGCTACAGTGAGACTGCTGCCCAGCGAGGTTCACAGTGACTGTGTGTCCTTAGGATGTCTTGAGGTCCAAGTATGCATACATAGGTTCTGCAGAGGACGTGTCTTGGACCATTCACTGGCACCATAGACTATGACCTTTCCTTGTTCCAAGTGAATTTGTTTCCCTGAGTGTGAAAGAATGAAAGGGAGGGAAGGAAGACTTGGCAATCTGCTTTTCCCTTTGTCTGGTCCCCTTTCATGTCCCCTCCTGCAGAGAAGCATCTGTCTCACTTTGCCATTGGACAGCTCAGGAAAAAGTGGACTCAGTACTGGAAAACCAGCTCCCAAGGACCACTGTATCAGTAATTGTGTCCACTTTGCTGTCCTAGACTTGAGGTTGGGGTGCAACCACGAAGGCACAGCTCCATGCCTGGCTTGTACCCAGCTGGTCAGTGGGAGTGGAGCTTTGGGGCCCCTTCATCCTATTTTTTCTCCTACAGACATAGAAACCAAGGCTCAGACAGTGATATGCACTTGTTCAGACTCACACAGCAGGTTGGCATCAGGCCTAAGACTAGATGGAAGCCTTATGGCAGGTGATGGAGTCAGGATGTGTCTCTCCCCCTCCCAAACCAAGCAGTCCCTCTTCCTTGAAGCTTGCCAGGTCTGCTGACCTCAACTTTACCTCCAGAGCCTAGACTTGGGGGAAGCTCGGGGATGGTCTTGAAGTCCCAACCCAAATTGGGTCCTGCAGTTCCCTTGTGAGATGAGAATGGAGAAGGTTGTGTCTGCCGTCTAAGAGACTCGGCAAGGATGAGGCATGCCTTAATGGCTCCTTGGCTCACCCTGCTCTCTCTCTCTCTCTCTCTCTCTCTCTCTCTCTCTCTCTCTCTCTCTCTCTCTCTCTCTCTCTCTCTGGATCTTCCCTTCAAAAGAGGAAGTTACACTTTACCAGACAAGGATGTTAAAATTCTATTCTGACACTCATCACACAGTAGGTGACCTCCCTCCTGTAGTCACCTTCGAAGCTCAGCCTCTGTCCATTCTCCTCTCTTCTCCTGGTTGAGATATCTACAGTACCCTATAATCCTCAGGCCAGCACTAGAAGGGAACTGGAGAGGGAAGAATAGGACCAGATGTTCTGGCATTCATTCAGGAATGTTCCACTGAGATTCTGTGAGAACTAATATCACGTTATGACTCTCCATCCTGGCCCAATATCTGTGAAGTGGAGTATTTCAAAGTATCCAGATCCATAAAAAAGAAAAAAGAAAGGAATAAAGAAAAAGAAAAGAAAAAAGAGTCAAAGGGGGACTCTAGGCACACAGAATCCTGCTTCATATTGGGTCAGCCAGTCAGCCTATGTCCTGCTAGTAACAAACCATAAACATATGTCCCCTCTCTGTTCTTGACTCTTTCCTTGTAGGGTTTGCCCCTCCCTAAGTTCAATATCTTATAAACTACTCAGCCACAAGGCTACAAAGCAGAGCCAGTGCACCCTGGAACATGACATGTTAGTGAAGTCTGTACGTGACTGGGAGACATATGGAATCAGACCCTGGCTGCGTGTCAGGACTGGATTTCCAGTTGTCTCAACAACTTAGTATTTGTTTGGGGCTCCATTCTTCCAGGTGGGCTGAAACTAAATCTCAAGTCCAGGTGTCTATCTATCTGCCCATGGCTTCTTCTTTGCTCCCCAGGGTTCGGGGTAGGAGGTGTAGAGAAATCTGGTCAGTTAACTGTGTTATCATTCATAGATACATCTAAGATACTCTCTGCATCTCTAATGGGGCTTCTGTGGGAATCACTGTTTTCACTTCCAGGCCAGCATTCTGTCCTGGGGTCATTCTGTCCTGGAACCTACTGCCTCCATAACTCTACTTGACAGGGACTCTGGTCTTCCTTGCTCTTTAGTCCCTGATGCCTGTAGGAGAGAGCTAGCTCACTCTGACCTCATTACTCAGTATTCTAGACTATCTTCCTTTCTCTATCTGCCTGACTTTCTCTTCTCTACTCAGACTACTCTGAGCCTATGAAAAGGAAACACCCACAACTCCATTATTATTCATTGATGCCAAGAATCTTTCCATTCTCCCAAAGAGTCACATTTTAAAACTCAAAAGCTAATTATCTATACAAAAATGTGGTGTAATAAATGCAGAAATGTCCCAAGCAATAAGAGCCAGGAGAAAAAGCAAGTTGACATATCCAAAGTATCCTGTTAGACATGTTATTGATACTTTGTTTCCTGGCTAGTGACTAAGAGTCAAGGTTGTGGATTTACTAGCAGTCCAGGAACATTCATTTGCTTACACCTACTAAGGTGTTTATTTAGGAAGGTCAGGATTATTGGAGTGATTACTAGCATTTACCATAAAAGTCCAGCACTTGACAAAGTCTTGAGTCATTCCTAATCATCACCAGTCCAAATTCTGACCATTAGGTGATACGATGTTTCTTGGTTATTTGTGACAGATTTTATTTCCTTCACTAAACATATATTGAGTTCCCATCTCTATCAGCAGGAGCAAGGGCCCAGGGACTTATATGTGGAGGTAAATGGGAAGGGTCCCTGTGTGGCTGGTTCTAGCTGGAACAGGGACAACCTGGGGTTATGATGCCAGCCAGGCTCCTGCAGGCATCATCTTGTAACTTCTTAAGCAGGTAGGATTTCTCCTGAGGACCAAAAAGAACAGGAGGAGGATTTTAAGTAGGCTGGTAAACGTGAACTACAGGTGACTAGTATGGATTCACTTAGCTCTGAAGAAAGGACTTAGAAACAGTCAACAAAGAGTGGGTGGAACCTGGGATTCTGACCCTGCAGAAACAATTTCTGCATCTCCCAAACGATAATGTGAAGCAAGGCTGTCGGGGAGGTGATGGCTGTGAAAGCCTCTGGCAGCTGCTCAGCTCTGCGGTTGGAGGACAAAATCAGATGGCTTTAGAGAAGGAAGGCGGCCTGTAATTTCCTTGATCATTCTTTTTAGTGAAAGCTACCCAGAGGCTGTATTTTAATCCTCACTGTGGGAAGCTGCCAAGTTTCCTGAGCTAAACGATGCATGTTTGTTCTCTGGAGTGAGTGGTCCCTCCCTAAGACCCACACTAACCCTTCAGCAGTCCTATCTTCCTAACACTGAACATCTTCTGTTTCCATCCTCATCCTCACTCAAACAAGCTCTGTACCTTTGCTGGGCACATAGCATTCCTCAGAGCCCTCCCCCTGGGGGGTGGGCACTGGCATCCCAAAAGTGTGGCACTTTCTCCATAATGCTTGGTATGTCTTCCAGCTGAGCAGTAGGGGCCCCCACTTCCAGTAGGAGATGACTAATCCTGGAAAATTGGGAGAAAATTGGGAGGCTCTGAGTTCTGAACCCACATGGCAGAGAGCCAGAAGTATGGGATCCTGAACTCTGTGCTGCCTAGGGGTGTAACTCTTTCTTGGCATCCTCTGCTGGACACTCATCACCTGCACACCATAGGCAGTACCCTTCCTTGGCTGAGGGTGGGAAGGCACTGGGCGTAGAAAGCAAATGCTCTCAAGTGTGTGGCCAGCCCGCATATTGCTCCCATGCCTGCCATTGCTAACTCATGGTGCTGTTCGTGACTTGGCCTGGGCAATGCTTCAGAACCCTAGTGACACTCTCTGATTGGGGGGCAGTGGGAGGGACTGCTCCCAGTCCTATGCTCCTGGCACAAGGAGATAGTTTGGCTCTGCCATCCCTGGGAAGGGGTTTGGTTTGCCCTTCTGCTCATGGATTGGGGAAGAGAGACAGAGAGGAGGATAATGGGTGGGACTGGCAGTTAGCACTCCAGAGGCTAACAGTGTCTAGAAAGCAGCCCATGGGTAATGCTGGCTTGAGAGTAGTCTGGGTTGCCAGATCTGTCTTGCACTGTGCTGTCTTTCTCTCCTTTCCTTCCCTTATCTCTTCTCTCTCCTCCTGTCCTACCACCTCTTCCTCCCTGTCTCTTCTCCTCTCCTCATGAGCAGGCAGAGCCCGCCAGCAGCCCCCACTGTGCCCACTCTCGCTGCTCTCCTCCACTCTCTCTCCCAATGAAGGAAGAGACCACTGGAGTTTGCATGTATCCTCCAATCAAAACGAGGCTGGTAGGTACCCTGACAGGGTGGGGGCCTGCTGGGTCACGTGAGGTGGCAGGAGCCCCAGGTGAGGCAGTAGCTGGATGGATGTGCAGAGGTGCCAGACCTCCAAAGAGCCTGCTAATGGGTGCTCTCATCCCTGGATGGATGGGAGAATTTGGGGTCCAGCTGGGATTGGCCAAACCAAGACACATACCCTGCTCCTACCCATTCCTCCACAGCTCTCAAGAACCAAGAGCCATTTGCTTTCTGAGAACTTTTAATGAGAAAAGAGACTTAGTTAGAGAGGAATATACACTTTGATAGTCACCTTCTGGGGTCCTAAGTGTCTTGTTTTGTGGCAAATAAAGTTTTAAGCTCACCTCCCCCTTCTATTTACTGACATCATGACACACCAGGAGTGCTACATGATGACTTAAAAAGAACCATCTTAATCATAACTGAGCATATTTTTTTATCTTTGCCTGTTTTCCTCTGTTTATCCATGTTCATTCATAATTTCACCTGTTAAGCAGTAGTCGCCATGCTGTCTCCTGTTTTCCCCCTTTCTTGTAGCACTGTTTCTGTCTTGTTGTCATTGCCTCGTCCTACATGGCCATTCAGAATCCATCAAGCAAAGGTTTATCATGGGCCTCAGCCCCTCATGTTAGGAAGGGCACTCTGTGTATGTGTCACTGTTTCAGGGAACATGAAGCATTTTTGTGTCTGGGGTTTCATCTCCTAAGTCTAGATGCTTTTGAGTGATGTAGGATGACTTTGGTGTTTGCCTCCTTCTGAAATGGCCCTGGATTTGGAAAGTGCCACAAGAATGCAGTGTGTTCTGCCATACCAGTGAGCATTGGGGTGTCATGGGGATGTAGCTTCTTACACAGTAGTGTAAGGCCATTGTTTGAAGCTGCTAACATACACATTTCACTAATAGCCACAAGGAAGCACTTCCTGTCTATTCTGGTTGGTTTGAGAACTTACCTGCAGATTTTTTTTTTTTTTGTTATGACATTTGCTTCAGAATGCCATGCCAACCTGTTAGGCCAGGCGAAGAGAATGGGAGAATGCACTGTGAAGTTTTGGCTCAAGAGTCTTTGGGAGCTTGGGGCTCATTCTGGGAATTTTGGGATATTTATTTGAACAGATCTGAGTGAAAGGAAAGTTAGGTCGGTGTGAACATCATCACATGAACATTGCAAAGATACTGTTATCTCCATATTGACTGACACCTGTTCTGCCTGTTCAGAAAACAGCTCCTGATTTGGGTCTAGTCTGCAGTGTCCCTGTGCCTCCCTCCCCGTTAGAACAGTGTGAAAGTGCCAAGGTGCTGTCCTAGAGTCCACAGGCAAGACCTCATGCATGGGGCATCAAGCTGCTACCCCTGGGCAGGGATGGCCTCCGTGCCTTGTCAACAGTCCTTGCCTGCACAGGTACACAGACTACAGACAAAGCTTGTACTGCAGTCACCAGGCCTCTAGATCCCCTGGTGTATGTTGGCTCAAAGAAATAGGTCCTGTCATTTTCCAAGGCCTCCAAGAAGCCAAAGACAAAATGAGCAAAAAGAAGGAAAGAGAGGCTGCCCTCACCAGCTGACTGGCGCACTGGCCTCACTGAAACTACTGTCCGTATTGCATCATTGCTCACTTCCAAGTACATTACCTTCTGTTCTCAAGGGCCATAGCGGCAAGATATTTTGTGCTGCCATGTGCTCTCTTTAGGAGTTCTGCTGCTCAAACTGTACAGGGATTGAACAATGCAAGTCATTTGACAGGGACTGCCTTCTGGTTTAATTGACCCTCTAGCTAAGATGCACTATGTCCCCAACAGACCATTCAGAAGCCTCTTGCCATGTCCCACAGCTGTGGCAAAGCCCTCAGAGGTCTCCCCAGGTACATTGGAATGGCCTCCTCAACTACCTTGAGTGTAGCCTTTTCTGGAGCAGGCTTTGGACGCTGGCCTGAAACTCCCTATAAAGGGAGTTCTGGGCAAGGAGAACATGCCATATCGTGTAACCCAGGCAGACAGGCCTGCATCCTCCACCACAGAGAGATGAAGGCTCCTAAACTTCCCAGGATCCTTCCTCTCAGTTCTAAAGGTGTACTGGTAAAGGCTTCAAAATGTTTGTGACATAAAGGTAACCCCTTGTCTTTCTTTTTTTTGAAGATAAAAACATTCCCAGCAGAACCAATGATGAACCCGTTTCCTGATCCCTTCACCACGGGGCCACAGTTCACTGTGAGTAGTCTCAGATGGTAGGCCATATTGTAAGCCTTCACTTTCTTGTGGAGAAGGCTGTGGGGGGAGAGAGGCACTGTGGTTGGGGTCTGTTTTACTTTATTGAGATGAAAGTCACAGAAAATTAAGCATATTAAGACTCTTCAGGAGCATTTACTGTGATTATCGAACAATGGCCATCTCCCTTTCCTTCCAACAGTCCTTTCTGTCAGAGAGAAAAACCCAGTATTTTCAGTGTTTCTTTTCCACTGCACCCCTGGTGCATTTGGTACTCATGCAATTCACTGAATGTCTGTGTAGTTTTAAAGATTAGACAAGGCTTAGGCCTCCTCTTTTCAGTGTGGGTGTACATTTGGTGTGTGGATACATATTTGTGTGCAGGTGCACATGAGTGCACATTTGTGTGGAAGCCATAGGTTGATGTTGGGGATCTCTTTTTTGAATAGTTGTCCACATCATTTACTGAGGCAAAGACTTGCCAAACCCAGAATGCACCAGTAGTTCTCCTAGTCTAGCTAGCCAACTTGTCCCAAGGATCCCTGTCTCTGCCTTTAGAGCTAGAATTACAGGCAGACCACCATGCTAGTCCAGTCCAGCTCTTTTGTGGGTGCTGGGGCTCTGAGCTCCAGTCTCCACATTTACATGACAAATACTTTATCTCCCGAGCCATTTCTCCAGATCACTTGGGCTTTTTAAAAATTAAATTTTAGTTTTAAAAAGGTTCATACAAATGTATATCATACATCGAGTACATGCTCCTCCCCATTCCCACTAATCATCTGTGTTCCCTTAGTTTCATGTCTACTTTTAGGGTCCTAGTCTGTGGTCCAGGCTAGCCTCTGACTCCTGAGTGCTGGGATTAAAGGCATGAGCCATCATGGCCCAGCTATATTTTTCACTTAATATCATGTTTTCAGATCCATCTACTTTAGAGCATGAATCTACACTTCCTTTCTTTTTGTGGAGAGTAATATTCTACAGTATGGTTTTACTGCAGTCTGTTTATCCATTGACGTATTCATGGGGATTTGGGTGGTGTCTACTTTTGGCAATTGGAAATAGTGCTGTCATGTGTGCTATTTGCTTGTTTTAACACCTGTTGACACTGTGTCTTGAGTTGGATCTGCATCTTCTGCATCTTGATAATGGTGTGTGGTCTTAGGTAAGTCATTTTACCACATAGACCATCTGCTTTCATGGCTGTGCATGTGCATACATGCATGTGTTTGTGTGATGTATGCAGTAAGTGTGTGTGTGTGTGTGTGTGTGTGTGTGTGAGAGAGAGAGAGAGAGAGAGAGAGAGAGAGAGAGAGAGAGAGAGAGAGAGAGAGAGAGAGAGAGAGAGAGAGAGAGAGAGAGAGAGAGAGAGAGAGAGAGAGAGAGAGAGAGAGAGAGAGAGAGAGAGAGAGAGAGAGAGAGAGAGAGAGAGAGAGAGAGAGAGAGAGAGAGAGAGAGAGAGAGAGAGAGAGAGAGAGAGAGAGTGGCAGAGAGACAAAGAAAGAGAAAATACTTTAATCTATCATTCCTTTGGTGCCTTTCACCTTGTTCTGGATCCAGGGTCTCTCATAGACCTGTGGCTTACTGACTTACCTATGCTGGCTGGTCACTAAGCTGAGGGATCCTCCTGCCTCCGGCTCCCCAGCTCTGGGATCACAAGCATGCACAACCACATATGCCTTACTTAACATAGGTCCTGGAGATAGAACTCATTTGTAGCAAGTGCTTTACCTACTGAGCCATCTCCTTAGGAACAGTAATAAGAAGCAGCCTGGTTGAAACATGCATTAAAAGGGACTGAGATCCAATTGTAATTTCCTAATACAGATCTCACCTAAATGTCTGTGATGACTGCTGACTTCCCAGGCTGCAGAGATGGTGGTACAAAGACCAGGACCATGTCCAAGTCCTGACCATGGGCTCCTCATGACCACCTCTTTCCCTGTCTTCATTAGACAGCTCATTTAAACTCAGTAAATAGATTAAATGTGTTTAAACATTTTTTGAAGATTTATTTATTCTGTTTTATGTGTATGAGCATTTTACATGCATGTATAGATGTATACTGCATGTGTGCCTGGTACCCGGAGGTAAGAAGAAGGCACTGGATCCCCTGGAACTGGAGTTACAAATGGTTGTGAGTCACCATATGGGTTCTGGGAGCCAAACCCAGGTGCTGTGTAAGAACAGCAAGTACTCTTACCTGCTGAGCCATTTCTCCAGCCCCTTTTCAAACATTTTGAATGTCATATTTCCTTCCTCACCAGAATGACAGCAATGATTACTCCCACACTTCTTTTTGGATGCCCAACCCAATCTTTCCTGGGAGTTTCTGCAGAATCACACTTTATAGCGAGCTGCTACATATAACAGAAGTGAGAGACTACAGTCCTTCCCTACTTCCTCTCCCTCTCACCCGCTCCCGGGAGTCAGTTGTGATCTCTGAACTCATATGGTTCATGAGACTCTCTTCCAAAGGTTTCTGTCTTCCATGGAGGATTTCCAAGGGGCCTGAGGTCCAGCCCTGAGTACAATAGTGATCTAGCTGATGGTCACTACCTAAGGAGGCTTCAGCCCATGGCATGAAAGGAGGGAGCAGTGGTTCCTTTAGGTTTCAAAAGATGAACAGACATAAGAAGGTTTTTGGCCACCTCTATGTGGAGGGAAACTAGGTGTCTAGAACATTTATTTCTAGGGTCAAGAGCTCACTTTAATGAGAGGACAGAGGTACCTGGGCTATGCCAAGATGTCCAGTACTGTTGCCTGGTGCTTGTACATCCAACCTACCCTGCAGTTTTTGCTGGACACAGATCCTCAGCTGGAATCTCTGCTCCAGTTCCCTCAGTTGGCCATGATGGGGGAACTCTGGTCTCCTTCCCAGCCTTGGCAGCGATAAGAAACACCCAGGGAAGCCCTTCTTGAAAGCTGGGAGCACAGATGGAGCTGGAAGCCAATGTCATCAGCCACACTAGGACTTTTAAGAACTGGGCAAGAGTAGCTCAAAGGCAGCTGGACAGACAGAAGGAACAGCATGAACTGGAGTCCTGAGGAGGGACAGGCCATCACACACTCAAGGGACTTCAAAAGAAGGCCAGGGAACTGGAATACAGAGAGCAGGAGCCTGGGGTGTGAGAGGAAAAAGAGGAACAAATGCTGGAGGAGCAAAGCCAGGCCTGGCCCTTTCCCAACCGTGATGGGAAGCCCTTGGAAGATGTTAGAATAGGGCAGTGACAGGGCGGCTGTTTTTAGAAAGCAGCTTTGTGATCTCTGTGGGAGAACATTTGGGTCCAGACAGAACAGGTTTAGGATAATAGTTTAGAAATAAATCTAGGTCAGTAGCTTAAGAGAGAGTGTGCAGAGCACTTGCCCCTGAGTGATTTTGATGGGAGAGGTGGGGAGAAGTATACAGTTGGGGGAGATATTTAGGAGGCTGTTATGATATTAGATAGGTGAGGGAGGGAGAAGGACAAGTGGTTGCCAGATTTCTGCCATCCAGAACATAGACAGTGAGTCCATTTGCTGAGATTCCCATCACTGTGATGAAGTCCTGAGACAAACAACTTGAAAAGGAAAAGAGTCACTGGGGCTCACTGTTCCAGAGGTCTCAACAGATGATGACCATCTGGCTCCAGAGGTCTCAGCAGATGAACACTGGCTCCGGAGGTCTCAACAGATGAACAATTAGCTCCAGAGGTTTCTATAGATGACCAGTTGGCTTCACTGCCTATAGGCCTGATACAATTCAGAGTCAGCATAGTGCAAGGGTATGGCAGAGGAAAGCTGCTCCTGTGGCAGCCAGGAGTAGGTAGTGGCCAAGGAAGGGCCCTGGGGGCACAAGATATACCTGCCAAAGCAACACCTCCAGTGGCCCACTTCCTCCAACCAGCCCCCACTCCCCAACAGCCCACTCAGCTACGAGATAATTAACAAATTAGTCCCTTATCTCATGTTATACAAGCCTCCAGACCTGTCCTGGTTGGAACCGCTGGGCCTTTAACAGTTCTGAAAGACTCTGTACAAAGTTGAACTGGCAATCGGTCCGGTCCCTGTTTGACCCTGAGTTTTCTTAATTGATTCTAATAGAGAATGTTGGTCCATATCAGCCAGGTGACTGCTGCTTTCAAGCCATGGTGTTAGATTTCCATACTCATAGCCTCAAGTCACTCCATCTAGATCCACAGGTTCTCCCAGCACTGTCTGCATCTGGCCCACATTCCTCTTTCTAACCTGCCGTGTTCTTCTGTTGCCTGCTTCATTCTACTGAAAGCTAATACATTATTCATTGCACCATTTAACAGATATTTTAAAAGATAAGGGCTCAAAGGCTACAGAAAATTTACTGTTTTTTCAGGATCTCTCTTAAGTGCAACTAGCATCATTCCCCACCCCATACATGGGTACACACCCATAAGGAGTGTCATGACTGCTGACACAGTTGGTGTTTGTCCTGGGACCTCAGCACTTTTATCCACCTGTGCCTTTGTGCCATCTGTGCAAATGTCCATCAGAAGTGGCCTTGGAAGCCCACCTGTCACCCACTCCTAAAAGCAACACAGCCTCCTATTGGCCAGCTGCCACACCTTGCAGGCCAGGCCTTTAAACAACATACGGAATGGCTTTCCTGCACATGCAGCCCATCTCTCATGGGCATACTGAAGGTTCTGCATTGTCCAAGCTTATGGACCAGCTGCCTGCCAAGTCGACTGGGGCAGAAAGAGAAAAGGAAGCAAGCCACACACTTGGTCCTTAAATTTTTCTGTGAAAGCACCAGTCCTTATTTCACTGAACAAAGCAAAGCACACAGTCACCCCTAACTTGAGAAAGGCAGTGAGGTTTCATCCTACTGTGTGCCTGGAAAGTGGTGAGCCAGAGTGACCTGACGAACAGTACAAGTGAGTGTCACATGCACATAGTTCTCGATGGCAAGCCTCACATGTTAGACAAGCATCTGCGCACCTGTACATGTGACATACTGGCCTGTAGAGCTACTTCTCCAAAGTAACACTTCCAAGACCCAACAGTAGTCATTCCTTGTGTTTCTCTGCTTGAAACAAGTTAGTCTCCCTTTTAGGGGCAGATGTAAGTCACAAACGGGGCTTTGTGCTTTAAAAGAAGATAATTAATTATGCACTCAAAGATCAAAGACTTTAAAAAGCTGGTGGTAAATTTCTTCAAATTCAGAGCCAAGAACCACCATTAAAAAAATCAAGTATATATATACATACACACATGTTTAATCTTTTTGATAATACCATATATATATATGGATTAAAAAAAAGAGTGTCTGGAGAGATGACTCTGTAGTTAAGAACACTGACTGTTCTTTCAGAGGACCTGGGTTTGGTCCTAGCACTGACATGGTGGTAACTCCAGTTCTACAGGATCCAACACTGTTCTCCTGGGTCCCATCTGTACACTCAAGCACATACATACATGGAAGCAAAACACACATGCACATAAAAGAATCAAAAATCCCTAAGGATATGAAACAAAAACTATGCATGAAAACTACTGTTGCCAAATATATTAATGAAGACAATAAGGGATTATAAAATGTCTTCATTTATATTATTTTGTTGTTTATTTTGGTTTTGGTTTCATTGAGAGTCTCACTATGTAGTTCACACCCCCACCACTCTCAGCCTCCCAACAGCTGCTGCTTTACTTAAGCTTTCTGTGGAAAAGTAATAAGCATATTTTGCTTTGTAATGAAAATGGCAAGTGGTTTCCCTTTCTGGACCAGGCAGTGTGCTGCAGGTCAGTGGTTCTGAAAATAATGTGTATCAGAACCATCTGGAAGTCTTGTGAAAGCCTGCCATGTTGGGTTGTCTGGCACCAGCATCTGAGTAGAGCCTGAGCATTTTAACCAAGTATCAAACTAATAATGATGTTGCCCGTCTGAGGACCATATTCTAGATCCACTGTGGCGCTTTATCAGTGAACAACAGCATTAATGCATTCACAAACTCTGCCTCTGAATACAGTTAGCTTGTCTGTCTGTGTTATGTATCTATGTGGATATGTGTGCTTGTGTGCAAATATATATGCCTGAACATGTGTGCATGTAGGAGTGTAAGGCCAGAGAACAACACCAGGGGTCTTTCTTAATCCCTTTCAACCTTTTTCAGACTTGTTTTATTTCTATTTATATGTGTGCATGTGTGACTGCATGAGTGTATGCCTTTCATGTGTGGGTGTTTGCAGAAGCAAGAGTAGTAGTGCACACAGAGGCTAGATGACAGCATCAGATACCCTAGGACTGGAGGTTCCAGCCACATTACATAGATGCTGGAAACTGAACTCAGGTCCTCTGGATGAACATCAAGCCCTCTGAACCACTAAACCATGTCTCCAGATCCCTCCACCTCATTTTTCTTTTGAGGCAGAGTCCCTCCCTGAGAACATATAACAGGTCCTAAGGGGTCCTCTTGTCTCTGCCTTTCCAGTGTCAGGATTACAGATGTGTGCTACTGGATCTGGTTTTTCACGTGGGTGCTAGGGATCTGAACTCAGTTCCACATGCTTGTGTGGCAAGCACTTTTCTGACAGAGCCATTGCCCCAACCTGAGTACTATTCTTAATTATTTCTTGGAGCCTTCAAGACGACTCAGTAGGTAAAGGAGCTAATGACCTAAGTTTGTTCAACTGGGATCCACATGGGAGAAGAGAACCGTCTCCTACAAGTTGTCCTCCGGCCTCCACATGCATGCCATGTCACACCACACATACATACTCACTCACACACAGAGTCATTTTTAGAATTCTTTTTTTTTGGGGGGAGTGGTTTTTGAGACAGGGTTTCTCTGTGGAATCTGTCTTGGAACTCATTTTGTAAACCAGGCTGGCCTTGAACTCACAGAGCTCTGCCTGCCCCTGCCTCCCAAGTGCTGAGATTAAAGGCGTATAACACCACCACCAGGCCTATTTTTAAAATTCTTAAAACTAGCAAATAATTTCTTACTGGGTGACCTCAGTTGGAAGACTTAAACTCTCTAAGGTTTACTTTTCCATAAAAGCAGTTCTAAGATGTAAATTTTTTCACATTTTAATCTTATGAAATCAGATGTTTGTTTGTGTGAGTTCGTGTGCACCAGGTACAAGTAGTACCCATTGAGGCCAGAAGAAGACATCAGATCCCCTGGAAACTGGAGCTGCTTGTAGTTGTGAGTCACCATATGGGTGCTGGGAATTGAACCTAGGTCTTCCACAGGAGCAGCAACTTTTCTTTTAACCACTGAACCATCGCTGTGGCCCTGAAATCACATTTACTACAAAATGCAACGTAACAATGTGCCGTGTTCTGCTTTTCCTGTGATACCCACAGAAATGATGCATCTTCCAAAGGATGGTTTCTAAGATGCAGTGATAGATGATCTCTGTCTTACACGCTGTCAAGAGATAATATATGGAAGGTGCTTAGCATGGTGTCTGGCACAGAGTAAGATCATCTAAGATAATTTGAAAATGTGTGATGACTTTAGCTATTATTAAAATAACAAGTACAGTACAGTGAAGCCAGGAGAGCAGCTGACAGCATGAGGGTTGGCCTGGAGATTGATCTTTCCTGTCTGTTTCCCTTTCCAGGCAGACTTTAGAGAGAACAAATTGCAGTGCTGTCCTGGCCAGTCTTCCCCGTTGATTCCAACAGCAACCCTGCGGCCATTGACAGAGGCTGTGTCCACAGTACAGACCATCTACACCTCCCGGAAGCCTGTCTCTCTGGCAGCCAGGTGAGTCACAGAAGTAAGCACCTACAGCGATCCTGGCAACAGGGAGCCAGGCCTAGACTCTAGCTCACCTTGTGTGGGACTCATATCTCATTCTTTCTTTTTTCTAGTGTGCATGAATGTGTGTGATATATATACATACACGTTCATGTGAGTGTGTGCACATGTATGTGAGAGTGCACATGCATATGTATGTATTTATGTGTATATAGAGGCCAAAGGTCAGTATCGGGTGGTATCATGATCAATTGCTTTCTATTTTATTTTTTGAGATGGAGTTTCTTATTAAAACTAAAGTTCATGAACTCATTTAGGCTGGCTGGCCAATGAGCTCTAAGGATCTGCTTGTCTCCACTTCCCCAGTCCTGAGATTACAGATGCATTCACATCACCAAGCCAGGCTTTACTTGGGTGCTGGAGAGCTGAACTCAGGTCCTCATCCTTCCAAGGCAAGCACTTCACTGTCTGAGCCAACTTCCTAGCCTCTCCCATTCATTTGGCCTCCAAGTGGTACGCTGCGTTCTAGGTGCTACAATTAGACAGTGAACCAAATAGATAAAGTCCTACCCTTATGGAGTTTGCAGTCTTGTACATGAGGGTAAGGGAAGCAGACAAGCTGTGTGTGTGTGTGTGTGTGTGTGTGTGTGTGTGTGTGTGTGTAAACTCGGGGGCAAGGAGTGAAATGTGTCCACATGTCCTTACATGTGGCAAGGAGACAGTGAAAGGCAATGGGACAGGTTGGGATGACAGTCTCGAGCTGACACCTGAAGGTGGTGGGGAGCAGCTTGCAGATAGTTGGGGAAGAGTAGGGTTGGCAGGGAGACTCACTAGTCTTGGGTTCCTGGACTTGGTCACACCTGCCATGATTAGAGGTTAGGAGCTAGTATGGTAGTGAAAAAAGCTTAGATTCTGCTGTCACTTGAGGAGACAAGTAACTCAGGAGATGGTGACAGGAGAAGAAAGAACGGAGGAATAGGGGAATTGCCACAAAATAGCTTCTTGGCTCTGGAGAACTGAGGAGTTAGAGACTCTGGGCACGAATGAGGAGAGACCTGTAGATATTGGAGAGAGACAGTCGTGTCTTTTCTGGGAACAGGCAGGGGGTTTCCACATATTTGTGCTCCTTTTGTGATCTGTATTTCCAGTCATGGGGACAAGCAAGTATTTTTAGCCTTAAAGTCAGGGAGAGACTAGGCAAATCTAGGTCAAGTCAACCCTTTATTATAGTTCTGGACAAAACACATCTTAAATGATCAGTATGGAGAGTGGAACAAATGCTGACCCAAAGATAGGGCTGCAAAGGAGACAGAGATAACAAACCTTCCTACCCGTGCCAGGTCCCATCGCATGCCTTCAGGCCCAAGTGAAGCCAGTGGTTCCACCAAAAAAGTGTGTGTGTGTGTGTGTGTGTGTGTGTGTGTGTGTGTGTGTATGGGAAGGTGCACATTAAATGTGTGGAAGTCAGTGGACAAGTTCTGTTGTCATCCTCAGGAACATTATCTACCTTTTCAAGACAAGGCCTCCCGCTGACCTGGTACTTACTAATAATTAGGCCAGGCTGACTGGGATCCTTCTGTCCCTACCTCCTCAGTGCCATGTGCCACATCTGTGGTTTTTACTTGAGGATGGGACTCAGGTCATTGTGTTTACACAATGACACAAGACGGACACCCTACACACACACACACACACACACACACACACACACACACACACACACACACACACACACACAGCCCAAAACAGGTCCTGTTGTCCTTGAAAGGTAGCCTACACTACCACCATCACCATAGCCCACTTGTCAGATATGTTATCCACAGTCAAGGTGGAGAGACACTGGTAAATACTGTTCAGCGATGGGACCTCCAAAATTAAATCTCTAAACAAGTAAGAGCTAGTGAAGCTAGAAGGTTGATGTGGGGTTTTCCTTGGTAAGTTATAGGGTAGATGACAGCAGCAACCCACTAATGCTGTACATTGGGGCCAGATTGTGCGGGGCCTTGTTGACCATGGCAGAGTGAGATTATAACTAAACGTCCATCCTGAGTAAAATTATTAAGGTTGCTCTTTGCCTTTAAAAATACACATTTTGGGGGCTAGAGCAGTTAAGAGTGCTTGCTGTTCTGCCAGAGAACCGGAGTTCTGTTCTTAGCACTCACCTTGGGTGGCTCACGAGCACCTTTAACTCCAGCTCCAGGGGATCTGGTACCTTCTACTGACCTTTTTGGACACATGTGGCACGCACGCGCGCGCGCACACACACACCCACACCACACACACACACACACACACACACACACACACACAAAATAAAATAAATCTTTAAAAAGTATATACCTTGTAGATCCCATGCAGTGAGATACACCTGTAGTTTCAGCTACTTGGGAATCAGAGCTGGGAGCATTGTCTGAAGCTACAAGTTTGAAACTAGCCTAGGCAATCCTCTCTTTTTGTTGTTTCCAGACAGGATTTCTTTGTGTAGACTTGGCTGTCCTCGAACTATTATTGTAGGCCAGGCTGTCTCGAACTCACAGAGATCCTCCTGAGTGCTGGGATTAATGGCATGCACCCTCACTGCCTGGCTGGTAGCCCTGTCTTAAAAGGGAGAGTAAGAGAGATGCAGAGAGGGAGAGATATTCATCACTTTGAAGAGGTAGATAAATAGACCACACATGGGGACTGGGAAGTGGCTCAATGGCAGAACATTTGTCTAAGAGGCATGAGACCCTGGGTTCCCATCAAGGAAAACACACACACACACACACACACACACACACACACACACACCACTTTTACATAACTTCCCATATATGTGTATTTATTTAAACAGTAGAAACAAGATCCATAGGTGTCTTAGACACTTTTCAGTTGCTGTGATAAAACACCGTGACCAAAGGAAGAGAGAGTTTATTCTGGCTGATGGTTCCAGAGGGATAAGAGTCCTCATGGCAGGGCAGAGACCCAGCAGCAAACAACCAGCAGGGCAGCAGAAGCTAGAAGCTGAGACTCACATCTTTGTCTTTAACTGGGAGCACAAAACTGAGAGAATGAATTGGCAGTAGCAGGCAGTTTCAGCTGCCTATAAGGTTAGCTAATGCCAGGCATCCCAACAAAGCCTAGGGAGGAAAGTCTGATGTCTATAAGATAACATTTAGGTCCTGCCCACACCTGCAGATTTTGAGTCTTTATCTTACTGCCTGGCCCTTTGCTGTTTCTCAGTGCAGAGACGCTCCGGCAAGAACTGGAAAGAGAGAAGATGATGAAAAGACTGTTGATGACCGAACTGTGAAACTCTGCCCTTGCTGCCTGGAGATGGCATGGTGCCTTCGTCCGCTTCCTTTCCTCGGGCTCGGTGTGCTCACTCTGGCACAACGTACAGCAGTGTGCTCTGTTCGCCCAGGTCTCCAGGGTAGCGGAAGCCAGATTCTGGCTTGACTTAGGTGGAAAAGTTATTTTATGTCTCCTGAGCATGAGAGGTTTTTCTACTGCTCAATGCAGTGGAGACAGGGTTTGGTAGGAAGTTTCTAGAAGAAGGGGGATTTCTGTTCAGCGGTACCTGTGTATATCTGTTAGTAACCCCAGGGGCTAACACAGCACAGAATCCTCCGCACATATTCTCAACTATGTGACTTTTTTATGATCGAAACTTGCACCAAGCTTTGGCTGTTTGTTAAATGGATCATTTTTAATGAGAGAATAATTCTTTACTGCTGGTTTTTCCATTTACACTGATAAATACACAGATCTTATTAAAAATTCATTTATTTTTATTCAGACATGAATAGATGAATGGAAAAAAAGGTTACATATTACTATAACTGAAAATACTTCAGCTTAACCTGAAATACAACTGAATGTGTGAACTTGTTGGATACAACATAACCTGGAATAAAAGGAATTTATCTTTGAGCCCATGTAGAAAATTCTAACTTACATCATCTAAAAATCTTGACATGGTCAAGATGATTCAGTATCAGGAAGACTCATTTGGCTTTTCCATAAACACAAATTATTTCTAAATTCTGTCTACTCTAACCATGTTGACAGAACCTTGCCCAGAAGAAACTTAACTCCCTTTTTATATAGTTTCAAGAAATTCATTTTTAAATTTTTATTATTCACTTGAATACCTTTGCAGGAATTAAGGAGCCCCTACCCACAGCTAGCTCTCTGAAGTGTGTCCTGCTTCTCATTGATATGCTCCATTTTTACATAGCTGTGCTCAGCGAAGACATTCCTTTTGTTATATTTCCTCCTAACACATCTCCTTATTAAACAGATCCTATTCTCACTAATTTAAATGTCTTTATGTCCACATGACATGGTTAACCTCACCTCTCCCCATTATTAGATATTTCAGTTATATGCAAATTTTCACTCTTATAAATAGTGCTGCTATGAATGTCTTTGTAAAAAATATACATAAATAAATAAATATATATATAAAATCCTTCTCTTGGATTGTTCCCTTTGGAATATCTCCAAAGAGGGATTACAAGGTCAGAGAGCATGAAGTATTTTATAGCTCTTGTTTTATATTGCCAGATTGCTTTCTAGAAAGATCCAATCTTTGGATTGGAAGGACCTTAAAGGTCATCTCACTTAAACTTTCCCTCCTCTGAATGCTTGAATCCCCTCTACAATTTATGATGCCACCAGCAATGTGTAAGCATTTCTATTTATCAGTAGCTCTGCCAATACTGGGTTTTGCCATTCTAATTTATTTTTTGCTAGTTTAATAGATTGTATAGTTATTCTTGAAAAGCTGTCTTATTTGAACTGCTAGCAAAGCTGAACACTTCTGTGTGATGAGTTACTAGCTGTGTTTCCTTGTGTGTAAACTGTCCACATCCATTTCTTATGACTGCTTGTTCAATGGGACTGACCTTGTATCTTTGTATCAGAACTGTATTTTTATGTTGTATTGTAGAGTTTGCTCTCTCCCTATCCCTACAACTGAATGGTGCCAATAATTTGATACTAATGACTATAAAAATGCCTCATTGACTAGCTTTGATGCAAACAAGGTATGCAAACAGATGTTCAGATAACCAAGGAGTAACTCTTTAAGTATTGACTCTTTACAATTTTAATATTTTTGAGGGAACTCTTTCTAAGATGTGTGGCACATTTCCCTGCCTTAGTGCACAAAGTATCTTGGAGGGTCTTCAGCCCTTTCCTCACGAATCCTGTCAGTACACACATCAGCCCCTTCTGTACCTTGATATGGTACAAAAGATGTCACTAGGAGCTATCAATACATGTAGGACTTGGCGTAGTCTATATAGGCTATGACCCTCGTCCCATTGATGGCTCTTTATTGCTGTCTGCTCTATCAGTGGAGCTGTCTAGAGCAAGTGTAGTTTCGGGTGGGTGCTTTTCACCCACACGGCCCCCATATGTACAAGTAAAGCGGCCTTGGCTGTTCTCTATTATGTGCACGTGACACAAACCACATTCCTATAGAACCTGGGGTTGTCACCTCCTGCCAATCCAGCAGCCTCTTCTTCTTTTAAGCTGCTTTCTGAGGCGTGCACTCCTCCCCACCTTGCTCTCTGATGGAAACTTCCAGAACACAGTAGAAGGTTTCTGGAGAGGTCAGGATACAAGTATTTCCTACATACATGGTTTGCTTTGTTTCTAAGGAGGAGTGCATGGAGGTTTTGGCTGTTATTTTCAGGAGACTTACAGGTTCCTGCATTGTCTCCAACTTCTCCCTGGGTTCATAAGTGTCTCAATGAATTGACATCACTGCAAGCCTGAGAACAATGTGCTGGTTGTTATTGTATATGAAAACCCAGTGCTGTTGGCAGTTCATCCCAACCAGTAAAATCCAGAGGAGTGCATTGCTGCAGTGGTCATTGTCTTTTGCTACTTAAATGTATGGTGGGTACTTGGCATTGGGACCTGAGACTGTGAAATTGCCCTGAGTGAACTCACAATGACTATAAGGAGTTGTACAATTGTTTTTTGTCTACTTAAGACCCAAACAACAGCACTAGAAGGTCATATGATACCCACTGTGGATTCAAGAGGGGTCAGGAGAGTCTCCTAACATAATCATTCCAGGGCCGGGACTCCAAACTATGGCCTCAGATGCCTAGTTGGGAAGGTATGGTGAGTTACTGCAGAGGTCTGGCAGCCCTCAACCCATAGAGTTGATGGGTTGTGGACAAGCACAGATTTTTAGGTGTGGAAAAGGAAGTAATTTAGCATTCAGAATTTCCCACCAGTATATAGCTGGAATTTGATTCCCAAAGAGCACAGAAAAAATCCAGTATCATTGTTATCCTTCACCATTTCAAAGATCACGGACCTTTAAAGTCCTTGAATAAAATCCACCATTTTAATGAGTTTAATGTGTACAGCCCAGTGTCTTTCAGCCTACCCATGATGCTGGGCAAACATCATCATCTGACCCTGACTCTGCCTCTGCCCCTCCCCTGGCAACAACTAACCATCTCCTGCCTGGTCTGTGGGTTTCTGCTAATGAATTTGCTTATTCTGGACACTTCATATATCTAAAGTCATATAGTATGTGGGCTTCTGTGATCAGCTTCTTTCATTTAAACCATGTTTTCAAGGTTCACCTATGTTATACCATGTATCAGAACTTCATTCTGTCTTTGTGACTGAATAATCGAATTATCTGGAGATACCATGCTTTGTTTATCTATTTATTCAGTTGATAGATGTTTAGGTTGCTCCTGATTTGTGGCTATTATGAATGATGATTCTATGAACATTCATGCACCAGCTTTTGTCTGAACATATGTTTTGGGTTCTCTTGGAATTGCCAGATCATATGGCAACTCTATGTTTAACTTTGTGAGGGACTTCCGAGATCACAGCTTTTATATCTTACGAAATCCAAAGTGAAAAATGACATACACCAGGCAGTCTAAGACAGGCCACATCTGTTCCTGGTCGGATACTGAGTGATAGCACTAATTTGGGGATGTTTTATAAGAGGGAGAGGGGGAAAAGGTCCTTTTGTGAAATTATTTTGATGAGAAGAGAAATAAAGGTTCTGTCTGTCTTTTTAAAATGAAAATGAAATGAAATGCCTATCCATTTAAAAGTGACTAACAGGGGATGGGAGATGGGCTGGTGGGTTATATATCTGCTGCATGGACATGAAGTTTGGACCCTGGACACCTACATAAAATCCTGGCACAGCAGTATTTGTCTGTAACCCCAGTATTGGGGTGGGGAGCAGAGAAAGGGGCTCCAGGCTCAGGAGATTGCCAGTTAGCAAAGTAGTGGCTATACAAGCATGAGCATCTCAGTTCAAATCCCTGGTACCCACATAAAAAGCAGTACTCAGCAGCAAATCTATAATACCAGTTCTGGGAAGACAGGAGGATCCCAAGTTCACTGGCCAGACTGCATAGCTGAGCTGAACTTCAGTTTCAGTGAAAGACACTGGCAGGATTAAATATCTAAATTCCAGTTGGACAAGCTGACCTGTCAACTATATCAGATAGTAAACAGCTGGCCTTTGGAATTCCCAAGGTCCCTTTCCTCCCAATAGCAGCTCCCATGTCTTCCAGCCACTGGGTCAAAAAAGGTTGAAATGACTGATTTCTCAATATTTCATAATTTTGTGCAGTGTCATGACAATGTGACATTGAACCCTACAAACCTTTCCCTGCATGGTCTTATTTAATACGCACCACATCATGGGAATTATTGATCACTGGTCATTACCCAGGCAGTCTGACTTCCAGGTCTACATTTGAAATCTGATTTTCTACCTCAGTAGCAATTTCCTTACTTTATACAGTAATTATTGTAACAGCAGCAGCTGTCCTGCAACTA